TCTGTCTACAAAATGAGCATTTTCACCATAGCAAATGTTATTACTATTATCATTACATGAGCATAATAAGGGTAAAAAAGAACAACCCTGCTTTGTCATATAATATGAGTAATCTGCTTGATCTAATAAACTCATCTAACCCAGTTAGAGGTAAACTGTAAGCACAATTCCCTAGCGTATGCGACAACAAATAACATTTTCGAATAAATAATGCATATGTATATGTAACAATAAGCCACAAAAATAAACAATACAACAAAGCACTGGTCTCAGCGGGGAGTACGAGTAAATTTAGTGTAAAATTGGAAATAAAATTGGAATATATAGACCACACGAAACAATAGGATGTCATTAAAAGACAGTCTGACAAATCTGGGCCGGAAAATTTGAGCCAATAAATTGCGTGACTGGCAACAAGAAAGTTCCGAATCGTAGCATGGGAAGACCAGAAGCACGCAAACCATACCACACAATTACATTTTGTGAGTGAAAACACTTTGATTTGATTTCAATTAAGATGAAAGTAACAACAACAGCAGCAACAACGACAACAACAAAAATAACAGCGCAATACACACTGCAGAGCAACGGAGCACAACAAGTGACAATTGTTTGGGGCAGACCGCAGTAAGCACTTGAACTTGTGGCTTAAACACGAGTTTCTCAATACAGCACGTTGCATGAATAGTCTTCTAAGGGTGTGGGAGTGGAACGGGAACGGGAAACGAGATTGAGTATTCGAAGTGGCTTTGTGCCTGAGCATGTTGATTAAATGTCAAATTGCGAGTATCAGAGCAGGACCACAACACATGTGCCACGCCTACGCAGTTACAGCAATCACATCATGACATTTGAATAATTGAGTTTGAGTTTAGACAAGCCCTCAAGTGAAAACCCAGTTTAAACGTTTGTTTTCTATAGTCTGAGCCTAAAATGTTCTTGTCAACACGCAACGCCCCTTTGGGCGTAGTTTCATTTCATTTGGATGGCATCTACGTGCTTCGCATGGCCAATACCAAATGCCAGCTGCTGCGAGTTATACATCAATCTGTACGGTCAGCCACCTGATCCCTTGCTCCTTACTGCTGTTGTCACTGCCACTGCCACATTGTTATTTACTTTCTGCAATTAAATGTTTAATTTCACTTGTTTAAAGTCGTGCGTTGATTTTTGCTATGGAGTTTTAAGCGTTGCCAGGTGGAATTTGCTGTAGCATTTCGCAGTCCCCATGTAAGCCGTCCGATGTCAATTAGGCTAACGGCAATGACAATGGGCTCAGCTTACGCTTCACTAGCTAAAAGCAAATGCCGCAACCCAACCCGCCTTGCCACGCCTCGCTTCGCTTAGAGGCTCATTAAAAATCCTGTTAGACAATAATGACCGTGTTCGTGTGCGAAGCGTCTACACTGATCCGGGCATCCGCATATGTTCGGCTGTACTGTAAATTGAGGGTTATTGTCTGCATTGTCTGTTCATTCTGCCAGTCAGCTGGGCAATATATTGTGCGCTTTGATTACATAATGGCAAACTAATCTATACTGGAACTTACTTGAATGTTAATTAGTATTTTCACGTAGCTTAGTTCTACATATTTTTGGTTCATTATTATTTTAATGAGCTAAGAGGATTAGTTTAATACTTAAAAGGAAAATATTTAAATTTTAAGGTACAAGTAAAGTAATTTTCAATGTCAATAAATTATAAAAATAATCTGTGATTAATAGTACAAGCTGCGCTTCGTTTCGATAGCTTTTCGGATATTACGACAATAAATTACTTTAATGCTGTCCGTGGTATATAAGTTATTTGCCTAATATTAAATTAGGCTGAAGTTTCAGTCGGAAAGTACTTATAAGCGGAAGGTTAGAATAAACAGTCTTGCATATATCAAGTATAATTACAGCTAATACTCAATTCAATTTCTTACTTAATCAATTCTTTATCTATAGACTAACTAGAGCTTTAAAATATCACATACTTTCATTAACTACAATCCACTTAATCTTATCTTTTTCCTTGTCCAGCTGCACGGTTCATAAGTCTCGACTGAAATGTGGTGCAAATTTAACATTCATCTTATCATGTTGTTGGGTAAAGTCCTGACCGCAACAACGACCACGTAACAGCAGAAACAGCAGCATCCGCAACACTAAGCAACAGGCAACTAGTTGCAGTTCCAATCCCCATTCCCCAAACATGATTTCATTCTCCGTCTCGACGATGCTGGCAGCGCCCCTAGTTGATTCGCATTGTTGACAGCGCTTCATTCATGGCATTCATAGGGCTGTGGTTGCCTTTGCTTCATCCCTCATCAGCCCTTCTCATCTCAGTTTCTTTTACTGCACCCTGTCCACTTTATTTATGAACTACGCTGCGATTTCTTAACTGCAATTTGAGCTGCTGCTGTGTTCGGCTCCTGTTGAGCTCCTGTGGCTGCTGCTCCGTTCCATTTGTGCTTTCTTCATGCTTCATTTGGCCCAACACAATTTCATCTGGACGTTTTTGCTGGCCATTTATTATGGTCATGCTGCTTAACAGTTAATTTGTGTCCCATGCACGTTCCGGAATTCTGAATTTCAATTCACTTTCGACATTCCACTGACGTGTGTCGCACACAAAAACAATAACAACACAATAAAAATAAAAAACAAAAAAAAAAAACAAGAAGAAAACATACAAAACCTGCTTTTTCTTGTATTTATTTATCGAACGTTTCAATTTCGATTTGACTCGCCTGTGCGTGACATTTTCAAAACATTGTGTGTGATAAATCTTGTTTGATTTTGGCTAATGCTCGTATTATTGCCCTATACATTTTGACCTTTTACGCTATTGGCTGTCCTGATCAGTTACCAATTAGCATTCGAAGCCCGAAGCTGGTAGATGGTGCTCCTTCAGGCCTCCAGCAACGATTTGCTGCCGGCTCGTTTGGCCAATTTCGCGCTAATTAACTATGTGCCAACCACACCAGCTGGAACTTTGCCAAAACCTCGTTCCCCGTATGCATGTGGTTGTGCCAGTGTGTGTTTTTGTGTGTTCATGTGATTTCATGCTTCTTGGCTACAGCAGCAGTAAAGGCAGCAACCAAAGTTACAATTTATGAGCACATCCTTGCACAGTAAGCTTGTGTAAGCAGCAGCAGTGGGGGGTGCTTTCTTCAACATCATCGTTAGGACTGGGGGCGTGGCATGCAAACACTTGTAACAGTTTGCTTTACATTCTGAGAGCAAACGCCCTCCAAAAATTCGTCCGACTGCCGAATATTGCATGGTGTCCTGATTCGTATTTGTCTCTGTTTCTCTTTCTCTCCCTCCTGTTGCTCTCCTTGTCCCGGCATGCACTTTATAACTGTTGACTGCGTCGAGCATCAACTAATTTTCCGGATTTTTTTTCCCAATTGCAATTTATAAAGTTTAGCCCAACTCAACTCATTTAGCAAGTCAAAAATTTCATTTAGCGTAAACATTTTCCATGTCATGACCGAACCATTTGCCACGAATATCTCAGCTTAGCTCCGTTTCGGTCTCTGTCACTTGCCAACTTTAGAAACTGCGCTTCGATGACTTTTTATGAACTTTTGTAATGTGCACAAAAATGGCAGAAAAGAACCCAACGATAGAAACAACCCAACAATGAACAATGCATTGAAATGAAATTTCTTTTCTCAATTGGATTTTAGTCAAGTTTCCCCAAACTTTACAAGCACAGCCATGTGAAATACATAATCCTTAATTTTTGTAGCAGTAACTAGAAATGAGAATTGCAAATATTGCAATATAGAACATTGACTGCAAATCGAGCTATTCAATTGCTATGAGGGCAATTTGATTTTATAAAGTTGCATCCAAGCCAAAATCAGTACAAATTGTAATTAAATACACTCGACTACAGAGATGCGTTGGACCTAATGCTATAGTCTATATATCTATATAAATTAGTATTTTTATCGAACCATAAAAAATACATTTTCAATAGAATATAATATTTTTTCCATAACTCAATTAGGTATGTAAAATATCTACTAAATAACAAATATATACACATTACCAACTCTATCAAATACGGGGTATAACTAAATAGGGCTGTTAACTCTGGCAACTACTTCTTAGTTAGCGCGAGCTAAGAGAAAAGCAAAAAGAATTTCTGAGAATGTTCCATAAGCTGTATAAAGCACAAGCGTTGTGAATGGCTGTGTGCAGCTTATGAGCGCACGACGGATTCAGTTCAGCACTGAAAACTGACGACAATGACTGACATAACCAATACGAGGGGCGAAACTTCAAGTTGGATGTGGGGGAGGTAGGGGGACTTAAGGCGATTGGATGGAAGGCGTGGCAAAGTGGCAGGTAGCAGTAAAAGTAACTGTAGCAAGTCAATACTAGAAGATGCTATTAAGCTTTGCTGTAAAGGAAATATTCAAGCATTTACTTCTAAAGTATGGCAATGAAATACCTTAATGTACTTTCTAGCTTTATTTAAAAAAAGAAACCTAAAAGCAGAAATACAGTGGTATTTTCCAAGGGGCAAATAGCACTTGCTTTAGTTTTTTAAGGAATACATTTAAGTGTATTTTACACGCAACATAAGGGAGACTAACCTCGAAGTAAGTTATAGCAGCAGCAGTTATTATAATGGTCAGTTTATCGTGCTACTCCACGCCTCCAATTCACAATAGCCGCAAGAATTTTGCATGCAGCGAGTCACATTATTTTCCGCCTTATAAACTTTTGCCGCTCGACTTTTCAGCGCCATGTCAAGCAGTCCTAGCTCATGCCTGTGTGTGTGCGTGTATGTATATATATATAAATAAGTGTGTGTATGTGAGGGCAACCCAAAATGCCGTTGATGCTTATCGTTGGCTAAAATTATGGAGATCCCAAAATCTTAAGTACGGCAAAAGTCCTTTTGGCGTTTTGGGCATGACGTGTATTTAAAGCAACTCAAGCAATTTCCCAACGTAAACCCAATGACTAATTATAACTCTTTACCTTTTATTGCAGCAGCTGTAAACTATGGCCAATGTTAATTAAAAGCGAATGGCAACAGAAACAGAGAACAGGCTTCAAAACCCATGTGTCTGTAAGCGCTGCGACAAACATAAATCAATCACTCGTAGTACAAGAGCAACATGTAGTGGGATAAGCTGTATTGCATACGCTATAAGGACTATTTCGATATACCATGTTAATGACTATTTACATGGCGCATGAAAAATGGCCATTTGTTTTCAATCAAATTGAATCGAGTAGAGAATGGACAACAAAAGCAACAGCAGCATCAACAACAACAGAAATGCAACAAGAAAGCATTTGGAAATGACTTAAAGCCGCTTATCGAAAAGAAACAAAGAGAAACCAAAACACACACACACGTAGACAAATTAAGCAAAAGCCTCAACGACATAAGCTCCAACAAGCTAACGGACAACACGGCGTATGCGTGATTAATTGCAGTTTAAACACAAACAGGAATCCCGCAAGGACGAAAACTCTGACAAAATGTTGCCAACAAATGTGATGACTTTTATGAAAAAGGTAAGTGTGAAATACCAAATATCCCGACTTCAAATATTTGTTGGTATTGTTGTCTTAAATAGCTGCCAGCGAAACTTACGCCTTAATTTATTGATTTTTTCATTATTTCATTATTATATTTTTCCTGCTGACACCGAAATTTTTAATGAGAATTTGACGGTTTAAAGTGCAGCAATAACAAAAAATACCAAATTGGAGATTAGTATCAGCTGCATTGGCTTAAGGTATATCAGCAATATCAGTACCCATCAGTATAGGTAGCCAATGATTTTAAGCCTTTTTTCAAACACGGATCAGCAAAGACAAACAACTCTAAATCGCGAAACGAGTAAGGGAATCAGCGTCAATACAAAGAAGAAAATACAAACAAAACTTTTTAATTAAAAAGTCCGGTAAATGCTCTGGACGCTTGACTGAATTTTTTTTGGGTGCGATGCATGAAGTTTACCAACAAAAAATATCAAAAATACATAAATAAAGGAGGCGGCAATCAAAGCGATTCAATTGTACTTAAACACCTGCTTGAGGATGATGCTTTTTCCTTTTCCCTCATTTTTCAAGGCTTAAAATTAGACGTCAGCTCAGTTAAAAAAAAAAAACAGTGAAAACACACAAAGGGCATGCCAGAGAAAGCCAAAGAAACCCAAGCAATGTAAAAGTGTAAATTCCGCTGAAATTCTTACTTAGCCCTTAAAAATGTTTGGTAAAAGTTTTTGAGTAAAAAGAAATAAAGGAATAAAAATAGACTTGCGACTTGAGACAAGCAAATGTCAGGCGACTGCTCAAGTTGTGCTTGAAGAAATGTTTCTTTCGGTTTCTGAGCTGAAAAACTTTGATTATATCAAATGGAGCACAAAATCAAAGCAGAAATCCACCGGACTAAAGTCACAATAATGTCCTGATTACATATCAAGCATTGAAACTGTCAGCAGATCCTTTAAAAGAAAGGAAAGGATTGTTCAAAGTTTTTCTATTTATTTTGCCATTTAAACACAACACAATTTTTGTATTCTTTTCCACTTGTTTTTCTTTTGGGACAAGAGTGGAAAGGCGAAAAGCAACCACAAACTTCAAAGGCAATCAGTGGGGCGTAAATGTGTGGCATGAAATAAGAAACAATCGGATGGAGAGGAAGTGAAAACGGCTCTAAGTTAAATACAGGCAAACACCTTTTGTAAATTATGTGCTGTAATTTTCGTAATAGTTTTCCTGGATTTTACCACAACACACACACACATCTCCTCGCAAACATGGGCATTACTTCACTGGCTGCCAACCATTTGCGACTGCTTGTTGCTTATGGTTGTGCACTGCAACAATCAGACAGTTACCCAACCCAAAGTGCTGGCCTGTAAGCCACATAATGTCTACAATTTTGTTCAGTCATATATCTTACCTGTGTGCTACACTTGTTACACTTTCGCCTATTTAACAAGAGAACTTACTTTTTGTACATGTTGAATTACATGAATTGATGTTAAAGGCTGCTGAATTGGAAAGTGCATTACATGTTCGTTGTAGATTTTGACAGGTGCTTTCACCTTGCCTTTCATTGAATTTTATTTGCAGTCAGCTGCAATTCATGTGCTTTCGATCATACCGCGTAAAAGCTGTTGATTCTGCTCCCCACCCCACGGTGACCCTACATTGGTGCTCTTATTACTTATTGACTTGCATTTTATGCAGCATACTTTGGGGCCATAAAGAGCGCACATATGGCTTGTATGGATTATGATGGCCAGAATAGCAGCACTTAAACCCCCGTACAGCAGCCCATTATTTTTGGCACTAAACACGAAACTATTTTCGGTTAGAAAAATAAAGGAAAAGAAAAACAACCCCCAAAATAAATGACAAAATTAACACGGCAATAATTGCACATGCTAAGCGGCAGCCCAAGACTATGAACATAGGTTGAAGGCAAAGCAGTCGTTGCGAGAACATAAATTAAAATAAGCGCCAGACCAAAGGCGTAGCACGGGCATAAAAATATAGACTAAGATTAGGTTCCACCCAGTAGCTGGGGCAGACAGAAAAGGACATACATAAATCCGCAGCAACATGGATATTACCTTGAGGCCGGCTTCGAAATGACATCATCAAAAATGTAGCGCAGACTGAGCACGAAGCGGCCATAATCTGCCACTAGGCAGCGCTTAGTTGAGGCTGAGTTCAGACCGATGAGTACTCCACGCCCCTCCCTCTATAAAGGCGCCCGCCAAAGGTAGGCAAACGAAAAATGCTGCAGCAAAAAGCACTTAGCGTAATTTGCACTGTGTCTGAGCGAGAAAGAGAGAGGTAGAGAGAGAGAGAGAGAGACAGAGACAGGGTATGAGATAGTGTACTGGTCTGTGTGTAGTCCATATAGGCGGCTGTTTGTTCCGGTTTCGTCGCCGCCATCGCTTTGGCAAATAGAAATTTCCACTTCATAAAATGCTGACAACGCACAGCACTTATGTTTGGGTAAAGAGGGAGAGGGGCGCTCGCTTCGTCGCCCTGCCAGCTTACGCATTATTGTTGTTCTTCTCAATTTTTAGTGTTACTTCCCCGCCCTCCCACCTTCATTCTCTCACACTCTACGATTGTATGAGAGTGAATGTGTGTGCATTAAAAAGAATGACGGCAATTTTTGAAAGCCGCTTGGCTGAGCACGGTTTTCGTAGTTTAACCTTCGCCTTTCCTTATTTTCTTCTTAATATTTAAACATATTTGCATATCAGTTTTAGTTAAGTTAAGTTAAAAGAATTTCTCTAGATAAGAAGTTAAAAAAAAAATTAAGTTTAATAATTTGTAATAAATGAATTCAATAGTCGATATATGTTCCGATCAAAACCTATGAAGCTTTAAAAAGAAAATATTCAGTTCCGGTCACCCAGGTGGAAATTGGTAAGACGAAGGTTAAACCAAAATTGCCTGCCGCATTTTACGATTTTTTGGCAATTTGTTGCGCCTGAGCCGTAGCCGGCCCAACAGTGACAACAACATATACAAAGTCAGTGAAAACTCAAATAAAACGCAACGCGTTATTTTCACCTGCCTGCGTTTTCGGCGTTTTCGACAATGACGATGCCCAAATTGAGCATCAGCTGCGAAGATGTAATCAAAATGATGATGGTACAAAAAGTGAAAAAAGCAAATTCAAATAAAATTAACAAATACGTGAGGCACAGCTGAGCAACAGATGCGCCTCCGTTAAATAAACAGTCATAAAGCTGTTCCGGAATTCAATTTCAGTACAGGTCGAATGAGCAGAGATCGCATTTAAGGCTGTGAAAATTTAATAATATCCACTTCGGTTTTTAGTGTGCAAATAACTATAAATATTTTGTAGCTGCCACAAATGAAACTTTCGGTTCAATACGTTGTTAATAAATTCTCAAAAATCGTTTTCTTATTCCCCGCGCGCAGATGGTGGCCACAGATGAGCAGACCAACGAGCGGCAACAGCATGCAACAGATTCCGGCGGTGGCGCCTCTAACACGGGCGCTTTAAACAAAATGAAGGCAACGCTCTCCTCATCGCTGCTAACCGTGACAGATAAAGGTAAGAGTTCGGGTTTCGGGTGCGGGTGCGGTGCGGGTTCGGGTTTCGAGAGTGCAAGCGAATTTATGGCATGAATTTTTATACAAGTGCTCATAAAGCTGCTGGAAAAATGTTACTCAAAACTTTGCCCTTGTAGTGTCAAAGCCAGCTGACGGTTGCCTGCAAATATATTACGGATACGCAGTGAAATGCAAACAAAAGGCCAAAGCTAAGTGAGCGCTCAAAGTGCACGCAACTTACAACAATGAAGCAAAACAAGAGAAATGCTAAGCTGGCGTTTCCCCTTTCCCTTCGAAGTGACATTTCTTAGTTTACGACACTTTAACCTTGTGCACAGCAACAAGCGCTGCGTATACGCAACATTTTCTTTAGCATTGTGCGCTCGCTGTGCAAATTGAATTATGCAAGGGTCAGTGCTAGGGGAGTAGCAAAATGCATTACCCAGTCATTGGCATTGCCATTATCATAGTCATTGTTATGTCTGCCATAAATGCGAATGACAGTTGTACATTTTTTACTAGTGTCCACATCACAAATCCAATGTCAATAAATGGCTAACAGGAGCAGCAATAGCATTCATACAGTCGCAAAACCCACGCTGTGACGCTGTGTTTTCTGTTGACTTTTGTGTTTTTATACTCTTACCGAGGGTATTCACTTTTTGTCATAAATAAAAATTGGTCTTATCGGAGAACTTAATTGAGTTGTATAAAGCAATTTAAATAACTTTTACAATTACATTGACATTCATTGAAAATTGAGATGAATTGTATGAAAATTCCAAAAGTATAAGTTCTTAATCTCATTCATATGTTTCATGTAAGGATATACAGTCTTTGGCATTCCACAGATAAATGTTATTCTTTTTTTTATTGCAGTTTAGTTGACTGTGCGGTGGCTTTCAGTTTTTATTGCAACCACATCAGATTTATTAGTTCGAAATAAAATAATATTTTACGTTTATTTAACCAACTCTACTCAAATCAACTCGGCGACAACTGCTGGGAGGACTCTACGCAATAAAAACGAAACAAATCCACTGTTTTGGAGTGCTTTCGCTGTTGTTTGTGTGCATAATTTGTGTACATATTTTGACCCCCTTGTGCTTGGATGCGACCTCGACTTTCAATTCGTATTGCCACTGCTATTCTCACATAATTGAATGTACTTAAGTGCACATTTTGGCGCACTTGTTAGTTACATTTCATGGACATGCCAACGAATGAATTGTCCAATGTTTATAATGCTTTTGGAAGGGATTTGAAATTGTTTTTATTGCCACACACTTTGGTTTTGCGCAAAAATGCAAATAGACTAATAAAATCTGAATTTTAGTTGAGAATCATCTAAAATCACAATTTTAGATATTTGCTGCCACGCGCAGAGGTTTGATTTGGTTTGCAAAAAAAATCTGTATGATTTATCTTACTGTATAATATTTATAAAATGCGCTGAAGAATGTTGTTCGCATTATGCTCCCACTTTAGGTTGTTCCACGTGGCCCAATAAAGGTCAGGCTTAGTCAAACCGTTGGCAAAAAGAAAGGACGCTCGTGCAACTGTGCGTATACATAATGTGACAAACAAAAGAAGCTTTGTGCTTGCCTTTCGACTGTAACTAATACACATAGCAACCTTTGGCAAAGCATGGCTGCCTGCATATCGTCGAATGTCGAATGCTTTTAGACAGCCAGCTGACCTGAGCCTAAGTGAAAAAATGTCGATAAGTTTTGCCATTAAGCCAACCCTTAATTATTTAACTCCCACATCTCAATTAATTGCTCAATCTGGCGGCACGCCCATTTGTCGCAATTTCCGTTTTGACTATCGCTAATCGTCGCCGTTTATTTTATTTATCGCCTTCGTCGTCTGCATTTATCACGTAACCAATTTACAAATGAATTTATTATGAAATCAGATCACATTTTACCCAAGCAACAAGTTAATTATTAAAACTGCCGTGCCCAGATGGAGTGTTTGGGGGTGCGGCCTTTAAATGCATTTATGCTCGCCTTTTGTTGGTCAGCTTTCATTCAGCGCACATTAACTGAGAACGACTTTTCTTTTTGTCGTTGCAGTTAATAAAATGTCGCCACGCCCCTCGCTGGTACCAACAGATGCGGATACCAGCGGCAGCTATGGCTCTCCCAGTTACCAACAGCAGCAGCAGCAGCAGCAACAGGAGGCCAGCAGCAATCTGAATAACAACAATAATAATTCGGCGGGTGGAGGCGTTGGCGCCGCTGCGGCCAAACAGGAGCCCGGTCGCCGAGCAGGCGCGTGTAGGGTGTGCCTCAAGTCATTCAAGCCGGATGACTACCACAAGACGTGCTTCGAGTGCCAGCAGCGGGTGTGTGAAGATTGCGCCAGCTACAGCAAGCTTGACGAGCACGAGGATGCGGTAAGTGTTGTTAATGGGATGTTGTTGTTGCTGTTACGAACTGCAGCAGGACAAGAGTTTTCCAAGCCACTGGGCAATGTCCACTTGTGGGCGTGGCCAGAAAAATAAACACATTCTGCCGCGGCGCTTAATTAATAACAAAAACCAGCAGTGGCTAGATATATATGTATATACGTAGTATATATACATGTACATAAATAAAATATATATATATATAATTACAATGTATATGCATATATATACGTATATATATATATACATACATATATTTATTATAGGAAAACTAAATCGCTGTCGGCATCTGGCTGTGACAATGAATGCGTGGGCGTGACAGCAGGGGCGTGACAGTGGCATACATTAACCGTTGCCTGCACAGAAATTAGATTACGTTTCGGGGGCAGCCAGACAGCAACGCCAACAATAACCTTATAGCCGTCGTCACCTCCTCTGACTGCCTTGTGGCATTAACAAGATAAAAGCCAGATTAGCGAGATTAAATGACGAACAAAGAGTGAAACAGTAGGGGAAACGGTTGGTAACTCAAAAAGTTGCACTTGGCCTGTTGCTTGGCTTGTAACCATGTTGTTTGCCCAGTCATGCATTAATATGGGGGCCACCAACCACCACCCATAACTGACCAACAGCTGCTGAGCTTGCTCATGTATCAATACAACACACAATGACCATTGACAGGATAACAATAACAAACCCATATATATCTCATATCTGTTGAATCAGCAGCAGCAGCAACAACAATGCCAAACTATAGCTGCAACTTTGTCTGGATGCTTGGTACTTTGGTAGCCCTTGTCATATCGGCAGCGTAGCGTTCATTGTTTGTGTGTGAAGTGTCCGGCAACGCCCTGCGCATAAAATTTAACGTTTCTCCGTCAACTGGCCACTTTGGTTAATTGAAATTGATGTTTGTGGGCGGCTACTAACTTACACACGCGCCTCCGGCTACAGCTACAGCCACAGCTACACAGTTACCAACACACACACACATGTACACATGCACACACACACACACACATTCACGTGAAAATGTATTTATGACCACAGTAGCGTAATTACGGCCAACGATTGCACAATGGCATCTATTGGCTTGACCACAATGTGGCCAAAACCGCTGTCATCATATAACATGAGCTGACATTTTGACGTTTTAGTAGGATCATATGCTTAAATCATTGTATACCAAAATTATTTCGCATGAACAGTGGCTTAGTATGAAAATATTAATATCAATGCTCTTCGACATTTAAATATTATCTGTATAATAATAAAGATAGTTTTGGTATGGAACTCGACTGACTAAAATTCCAATAAAATGTTAATAAACTGATTCAAAAACTGATCTCAGACTTTAATACAACAGTTTAATACATATGAAACTAGCACAAAATTTGTTGTTGGCCAACCATTGTAGCTACTGCAAAATAAGCTACTGCAAAATAAGCCCACGCGTCAGGCTTTCTCTCCCATAACATAAATTTACTGATTCTACATATGAAATCCGTGCGCTAAAGTCTTTAATGTGACTAGCGGTGGAAGCTGAAATCACAGCACTGTTTGTTGTGTTGCGGGTTTTAAAGAACAGTTGCAGTTTATTTCTCGGTGGGATCATGAACCAGAGCCACAGCAGCCATAATTATAGACCACACAACTTGGGAAAACAAAAGCAATAAATGAGAAAGCGCTGCTCCATCTGTTGCTGTTGCTATTTCTGCACACAGCCTTGGTACAGGGACTGTACAGCATGATCCATGATTATAGAAACACTTGATGCCCATACGCACTGCTGCAACTTAATTAAAATGGCGCAAACTTTCGGAGCAGCACTCACATTCGTGACTTTGGCTCCAGCTGCCGTTGGTTAAAATGAATCAACGACCCCCGGCTGAAAGCGTGGGGGGCATTATCCGGGCCTACTGCAGAGGGGAAGAGGTGTACTATGTGTTGATGTGGCAATTGCGATTGCTGTTCAGTTTTATCCCACTTTTTCTTTAATTTGTTGCGTTTTTTTGTGCACAACTCCCGATTGCAAGGTGGTAACCGCAACCACTTTTGTTCAAAATGTAATTAATATTTATATTCAACCTCCACGACAATAACAATAGCAATCGCAGTAGCAGCGTCCACCACAATAGTATATTGTGGTATTCTGCAACTCCAACGAACCAATAAATATTATCCCGCTGTTTCGTGCACCCCAAAATAGGATTTTACGTTTAGCTAAGCCAAGTTTAATTCATGCTGCGTACACAAAATATAATATTGCATTGATTTTTCCACACCTTGTCACAGAACATGTGGCGCTGCAGTGTTTGCCGTCGCAAAATGGCCTCGAGGGTGTGCATACCACAGGACTCGACGGACTCAACGCTGGATGTGCCCGTGCTGGAGGCACTGCAGCGTCGCCACTCGGATGCCAAATTGGGCAGCAGCACACAGACGCTGGCACCGAGCAATGGAGCCGCCTTGGCACCACCACGCAGTCCAGAGCTGCGACGACATTCAGATGTTTCACCTGCATCCCTGAAGGAGCTCGAGCGCGTAAGTTAATATCGCCATGAATTTCCAACCCGCGCTTGTCTGCCATGCTATATAATTGATGTACTTTCAGCAGCTGAAAGGCGGCCGCAGCATGGCACCCAGTCGCTCGAATAGCCCGCCGCGCGGCAGCGAACTGGAGCCCGCATTCGGTGCGCCCCTCTCACGGATGCAGTCACGTCGCGGCTCCCGTGTCTCGCGTCAGCACAGCTACGACGATGATATGCAGAAGGGTGGCGTCGGAGGTAGCATGGGCGGTGGTGGACCCGCATTGGGCATGGGACCTGATGCTGCAGGTCTCGGCATACCGGCAATGCCGCGCAGGTAATACACAAAAATACACTCTCAAATATTTTCAAAGGCATCAATGTGAATCTATAGATTTTGATCCAAATTTAAGGATTTAAATTAATATTATTGAACAAACCAAAAGGTTAAAAATGCTATAATATAAAGAAATGTATTTAAATGTAAACCAGTTCAAATTAAAAACAAAGAAGTTAATAGTATTTTTTTATTATTCTGCTTAAATAGGAAATCAGCATACGACGTCTTTGCGCCGGGAGTGTTGCAGGGTGCAGCAGCAGGCGCGCAGCAGCAACGTTCGCCGTGCGATGGAGCCGGTGGTGGCATGATGTTGCCAGGGCAGCTGCCAGGGTCGCGACGTCCCTCGTTTCGTGTGCCGCATCCCTCGGAGGATATGCAGAACGATGAATCTCCCGGCTCACCGGATAAGGGCAGCCCCGTGCTAACTGTGGACGATGATCGGCGTATGAGGAGACGCGGCTCGCAACTGTAAGTGGATACAGCCATCACGGAAGTGCTCACTGTTAACTCGGACTAATGTGATTTTTCTGTACTAGTCCGGACATTGCGGCGCTGCAAAATCGCGGTGCATTGCCAACGGGTTTACCGGCTTCGATACCAGCACCAATGGCCTCGTTTACTGGTCCCAATTTGGAGGATTTGGAGGCGCCGCGCAGGCAAACGTCCATGGATGGGGAGGCCATACGTATTGTCATACACGATGTTGATTCCGGTCCTATATGTGCATCAAAGCGTCGCATTATTCTGCGCCGGGACCCAACGGATAAGGCACATCGCAGTAAGTGAAGCTATTAGACTGACGCAGAGCACACAAAACGGGGCTCACCTTGAAGTGTATGTGTGTGTATGTGTGCTTGTATATGTGTGTGTGTGTATGTGTGTGTATATGGCTGAATATGCATAGCAAATTTTTCATTTGATGAAAGCATGCTGTGACTGTGACTGGGTGCTCCCTTCTAACCACACAGGAAATGGCCAAGTAAATACGAGTCATTACAACATTTGGTTATGCTAATTCAACTGAGCGACCAACCACCAACCAAAGTACCGCCAACATTTCCTGTCCACTCCCCGATCCGCGCACCCCAATTCCCCAAACAAAGTGTACCATGCGATGGCGATTCGAAAGGACCGAAAGGGCCCCGTGGGCCCTAATGAAACCCAAAACGGAAGCAAACTGCTGGCAGATTAAGCAACCGAGAGGATTTTATCGACATAAAGGACTACAAGCACTACAACTGCACCCCCAACACAATAAGCCATCTACACATACATCTTCACCTTTACTCGTTTGCATATACATACATACATACCTACGTATACATGCCACATGTATAATAATATTAACTTGCTGCCACTATTTCTCCGAAACCTCCCCACCCACTGTGGTCAGTCCATTCTTGCACAATGTGTGTGTGTGTGTATTTTAATTATATAAATTCTCTTTTCATTTCTTTTGGTATTTTTTTGCATTCCTTAGCTGGTAGCTGCAGCAGCTCAAATAACGATGCGCTTAAAATGACCGTGCAAATTAATTTTTAATTATCATCGCAGCAAAAAATCAATATCATAAAACGTGCCTTTGAATTAGGATTCAAGGAAATTGCATATAATAGGAAAGTGAGAGAAAGGAAAACTATTTTAAATTCAACGCAGCAATAGCAAGAGAAAGAGAAAGATTTAAGTCGAATTCTTTATTTTGCAAACTGAAATTATTAGCTATAAATGCACAAATTTGTTGAAGTAAGGGGAAACATTAAACAAACAAATTTCTTAAAAACCAATATATCAAATTCATTTACTTATTAAATTTTGAAAATACAGTGTTTGCCACTAATTGTAAAGTGTGTAATAGCTTTCGAAAACAAATTAATTTTCACATCAAAGCAAAAATAAAATTAAATAGAAATCAACTTGAGCAGTATCCACATTCCCTTTGGGAAACTGTCCTCTGGATGTGACACTTCGACACACACAATTTGCCTCTGGTCAATTGCCAAACGACACAACCAAAATTCGAAAAAAAAAAAAAACTTGCAAAACTGAAGCGAGCCATTGCAAATGTGAAAAGTTGAAACTAAGATGCGCAAGGTGAAGAGGAAGCTGCAAGAAAAGTGCAAAAGGGCAGACACAACTAGTTGAGTGAAAAGTTTATGCAAATATGTTAGAGCGCAAATTGAAAATCGATTTGTCAGTTAGCAATTCGTAATTGAAGCTCAAATCACTCTGGACACTATGTATATACATATATATATATATATATGGCAATCAATCATTTTACTTCAGCAACTAAATTTAAGTTGTGATATGCGTTATTTGTGTTGATTTGTTGCATAAGAAATACGTTAGTCGAGCACTCATTCTGTTCAGCGTTAGTCAGCTGAAAAGTATGCTATGCCTAATTGACCCAAAGTGTCAGGCACGAACGGATATAATTTCAATCAAAATAACTAGTCCCCCGCCACCTGTCTACCTATCTGTTACCCACCTGTGCCGCAAACGTGCGCCAGCCTGACAAGCTTACTTCTGCTATATAGTAAAATTTCAATTTGCATATCATAAGAAATGTCAATAGCCAAGGCAAAAGCCCAGCCTGCAATGATAAAAATGTGAGCGTGCGCATGTAGGGGTGTTTAAGTATGTATATGTACGTGTGTGTGTGTGTATAAGTTTGTAGGTGTATCAAGAGTTAATCATGCTCTCTTGGCTGGCTGGGTTACCTAGCTGACTACATGTCTGCCTCACTGCCTCACTGCCACAGTGCCACAGTGCCTGCCTACCCGCCTGGCTGACTGTCTGCTTACCCGGCATATTTGATATGCAACGAAGCAAGTGGAATTTTAATGCGCTAAACCATTTTCTTGGCTTGCGATGGCACTGGCACTGGCACTGGCACTGGCACTGGCACTGGCACTGACACTGGCATTTGTTGTGGCTGGCATCTTTATATATCCTTGCCCTAGCTATGCGCTATGCGGCTTTACCACAAGCGCACGCATGACGCACGCGGTGACTGTGCCACCACCTGCTTGTGGTAGTCAGCAGCTGTGCTGCAATTCGCCTTGGGAGATATCGACTTGCATGCGATGAGGATGTGTGTGTGTGTGTGTATGTGTGTCTGTGTGAGTGTAACTAATCGTGTGCCATATAATTTAAAAGCAGCTTGGGCTCTTGCCGTTCGTGGAACTGTCGTGCAATTAGCAGATGCTTTGCAGCTAATGGAAGGTCGCATAATTAAAGTGAATAGCTCATCAAATGCAGCTACAAAGCAGCAATCGAAGGCAAACGTAATGTAATTAAATGGTCAAATGCGCTTTCAATTATGCAACCAGCTTAAGTGTTTTACTGCCTGTAACAACAATAGCAACAAAAACAGCTAAAGCGATAACAATAAGAAACCCCACTAGGCATTTTGTGTTTGCGGCACAAATGGCGACTTAACACGCCTAATGAAATTTTATGCAGCCTCATGAGCCACGCATTTATTACTGCAAATCACGCCAAGCATACACACACACACACACACACACAGACATACAACAAGTGAGCGGGTTCTGTTCGTGAGATTGGCTCGTTTCGTCCAGTTAGGGGCAACAGGTAGTCAGGCCATGCCCCACTTCACTTTGCCTAGCCTTTAGCTGTCGCTGGCATTCATAGTTTTAGTGCTCTTAAGTACATTACTTACTTGCCATGCTTCAGCTGCACTTGTGTACCCTTCTCCCTCTCGCTCACTCTCTCTCCCTCTCTCTTTCTCTCTCTGCTGTTGAAATAAACGAGCAATTGGCGGACGCGTTGGTGTGGCAGGTGTTCGAAAGTAACACTCGGATGCAAAAGGTTGCCAACCTGGCAAAGGATTGTCGTGGCCAAAGCTTACACATGCTTCAGTTTTCCTAGTTTAATTAAGAATCAATTTTTATGGCTACTGATAGCAGTGACTAAAACGCTTAGTCATGTCCTGGCAACAGCAGCGCGTGTGTTGCACAGTTAATAACATTATACTTGTAGGGCAAGTCCTGGAATGCAGGTCAAGCAATTGCCAGAACACAAGCTTTAAAATTCGAACAACCCAGGTGGGGCTTACAGCCACCGCACATACATAGATCACTTTTTAAGCGTTGCCGAAATTAATGTGTGACCCCAAAACATAAGAGGGTTGCCCTCAATAAAAAGTTTGTGCAAATTCTGGTTATAAACAAGCCCATAGCAACCAGCAGCAAATTTCTGTATGTGGCTTATTAAAATCCTAATGATACCCACATAAAAATAAAAATAGAAAACAAAATAAAAGAACAACAAATTGTATAATAAAACGTAGATGAATGACAAATACGCACGAATAGAGCAGGACAAGGACAGGACAGGATAGGACGGAACAGGACAGTACAAACAATGAGACAAAGGCTACAAAAATAGACAAAGCGAATACGGAGTCAAAGTAAAGTCGGCTACAGAACACAATACCCAACCTCACCTCAGTGCTGGTCATTCAGGGGTCTGCTCATGATTTTAATGTGGCGAAATTTTATGGCCAAGCCTGATGCCAGACTTCGCAGGACATATCGAATATTCACTCAGCGCGCACATTTCATGCATGTTAAGTGCGGGCAAGGGATAACTGCCCAAGCCAAAAGTCGAGCATTTTCGACTAATCGACACCCTGCAGAAAGTTCAAGCCTGCGCACGACCCATAAATCAGTTTTCGTGATTTCTAAATGCCAGAAGCATATCGCGACTCTCAAAAGTGCTGCGTCATAGACTATGTTTATATCCCGGCCAGCTCATGAATAATCTGAGTAATTTTACATCGTTTTTAGCATTCGCTTTTGTGCTGTCACGAGAACGCAGCAGCAGCACTGACAGCAAAGGATTTGAGTTTTATTTATTTCATTTTTATAGCCGTGTTTAGCAAGCAAAATAAAAGACAAAAGCAACAGCAACAGCAGTAATGCGAGAAAGCGACAGAAAAAACTTTTGATTAAAACACTCAAAGGGAAGAAAATGTCGCGTTATCCTAATTGGGTATCAATGTGCCCCAAATCAACAGCAACGAGGCGTATGCGCAACATTTTATTGCATACTTCTTTCCTTTCGCTGCTTGCGCTGCCAGTTTGTCGGTATTTTTCTGTTGAAAACTTTTTCAAACGGAAGCCACCTGCTTTGAATTATTCTGCTGGAAACCTACACAAATGTTGGCAAAAATATCACCAAAAACTGGGACGAACAAAATTTCATTGTCAATGTCTCTTTAACCCCACCCCATCCATTTCATACTGTGCTGCTCTCCGCAAGTCACTAGTTAACTTTCTTGGCCATTGTTTGCAGCAAACATTTCACTGTCTGCTGACAAACTGAGGGGTTTGGAAGGAGTAGAAGAAGCGGAAATCCGCCTTCTTAAGTTTTCGTGCACGAATTGTTGAAATTAGTTTTCTGCGCCCAACGATAAGTGCTTGAAACTGAAACTGCACATTCGCAGCGTACGAGATTCAGAAGCCATCTGAAATTGTAATTAAATTAATGAAATTGTTGAGATTCTCACAGCGAAATCTTTAGAATGCAGCTGCATTTTCAGACTGACTAAAAATAAAATGCTCATTTATCTTCAAGGTGTCATTCGAAAGGAAACAAAACAAAACTGTTGTATTAAGGAAATATATTCCAGCAACACACAATTCTTTGCTCTTCAGATGTATAGAAATATTTATTTACTTGATACACAAGACTCAGAGACATAATTCAACTTCGACTCGGCTATAAAATCTGTTGCATTGCCTGTTTGTACTGGCAAATACTTCGATAGGGCACAACATGACCTAAAACATGTACGCGTCCTTCAGCAATATTTATGGATCTTATAATGTAAACCATACGAAGGTCGGAGTGCTCTCCTTCTGGATGTTATAGTGTATTTATTAGCAAACTTGTGTGTGTTGTTTCGAGGTGGTCGATTGATAAAATCGGACATGCGTCGAGTCTCAATTCGGAACCCTTGAAGCTAGGAATGCCTTTAGCATTAGAGTCAACTAAGCACAAAACTTGTGCAGACAGTCAGCTAGAAAAATAAATAAACTGTTTGCCGAGTTGAGTATTTTTGTTAGTATCTATATGTCTCTGTATTGTACTTATGGGTGTTGGACTCAATACACTCGTGGTCGTCAGACAAACAGTGCAAACTGCAAATGAAATCAACACAAATTGCTTGCCACATGCCCAAAAATGTGTTGGTGCGTGCTTCGTCTGTGTGGTATCTTAGATTTAGTATTGATTTTCCCTTTTTGTTTTTCTAGCCGTAATCAGTCAGCATATTTTCTTATTAATTTCGTTGCTGTCTATTTTTTCAGCACGAGGCTTCGGCATGCGCGTTGTTGGTGGCAAGACCGGTACCGATGGACGGCTATTTGCCTACATTGTCTGGACGGTGCCTGGAGGTCCGGCTGAGAAAAATGGCCTGCAGCAGGGCGACAAGGTGAGTAAGCACCAAATTCATCATCGCATTCCGACCGAAATTCAAATAATTAATGAATTTCGAATACAAGACAAAGATGATGTAAAATTTTTAAAACAAATATACAGAAAATGTGAGAACATTTCTGTAGAAAGACAGCTGTCATGATGTTAAGCTAACGATAAGCTAAATTTGACAAAAGGCAAGCGAAAGGGGGAGACGTACAGGAATTCATAAAATGTACAACTGCTTGTCAGCACTTAAAGCAATCAGTTGCTGACAAATGATAGCTGAAAAGGATGCTTATTGTATGTATGTGCTCAACTTTTGCAGATACTCGAATGGAATGGCATGTCACTTATCGACCGCAGTTTTGAGGAGGTATGTTCCATAATGGATCGAACCGGGGACATTGTGGAGCTGCTGGTGGAGCATGCCACCGATTTTCGCATGTGCGATCTTTTTGATGAGAATCTGCCGCCTGGCAATAGTGGCGGTCAGAGCGGTCCTCGACGTTCTGGCGATGGTCCTGTCGGACTGGGACTTATAGCGGGTAAGTTTCAGGCACTCATTTTGGTAGCTAGTCCCACTGTTCCACACTTTTCTAACCAGTTTTGTACATTTATGTACATGTATATGATAATATAAAATTATTGATGTACCCCGAATAAAAAACATTTACTTAATTATCATTTATTGTTCTCGTTTCTTGTTACTTCTTTTTCCACAAAAAAAAAATATATATATATATATCAAAACAAAACAATCAATTGTGTTATCATATTGAAAAACAGACCCCGAATCCAACACAGACAAATCACCAGCATCGCCAACTAGACGGAAATTACCAAAAACTCCGGTATAAAAACAATTTCGTAATATTTATTTTAAATTGAGAATTACAATTAACGATTTGATATAAAAGAGAACATGAACTCTGGCAGTGAACATACAAAAAGAAGAAATATATTTAACTTACACATAATACACAATGGGCTATAATGCAATAATTAGCTATAAAAACCAAATGCAGCTTAAGCATATTCAGTTATTCCACACAAACTTTTCAGCTTTTCCTCAAAGTGCTCACAATATTCTATAAAAATCATTTGGCATATTTCAGTGCAGCTTCAGTGCTATGAATACTCACCCTTATTTCAATTAACTTAACTTGGATTACAGGCTCTATAATTTTATTTTTAGTTTTTTAAATATGTTTCAAATACGAGAATATTTGTACTTATAGTAGCTATATATTAAATACTAAATATATTTATATTCTGATTTGATTTCTATGTGTTTTCGGTTTTGGTTTCAATTATATACATATACAATTATTTTGTTTGTTAATATTACTTACTACGACTAACTAATAATAAACAAATGGCTATGGCTAAATGTGTTCTTTGCTATTTTGTCATATAATCACAAAAGTTATATTATATTTATTTATCGGTGTTGGTAGTAATTATTGTTAGTGAATTAAAAAATGAAATACAACAATTACATATATGATTAATAGTATATGGCAACTACTTACATAGAAATAGAAGTGACTACGCTTAAGGTTACCATAAACTAATTAAAAGGAATTAGCTTAGCTATGGATGCTCAAAACTTATACTATTTATGCTAACGATTTCGATATGCGCTATATATATGTAGCACCTAATATCCATTACTCGACTTATATTTTGTGTTAATTGAACCTTCTCTTAGGCAATTGAATTGCCGGATAAACACAGTAAGAACAAAGCACCAACAATAGATTTATAAGCTGAACATAAAATTTACATAATTGTTAGTCGTGTCTACTTATATATGAGTAATTGTCTGCAACTAAAGACCCCAGTCGGAAAAAGCAGTAACGAATTTTTAAACATTTTCCTATATACGCCGCTTGTGTAGTACCATTAAAATAGGCTCTACAAATTGATACAATAATGAATACACTACTAAGAATTGTGAACTCAGCTGAACTGAGTTTGTGCCTGGCTAAAATATTATAGTTGCTCAAACTCAGTTTATAGCTATGCAGTTACTTATCGTAGAACTATTTATATAGAAAAACCAAAACCCAAAACAAAAAAAAAAAAACTATAAATGTTACTAGTGCAAATTGTAGCAAACAGAGTTTAACTATTTATGTGTGTTTTAAATGTTATTAACTTTATAAAAATATATAAGTAGTAAGCGAAAGTGCAAAAAAAAAAACTAATTGAAAAAAGAAACAAAAGAAGTAGATTGTTGTTGAAATGTTTAAATGTTTTTAACCAATACAAAAAAAAAAAGATTTAAAAGAAAAAACAACCCAACCTCCTTATATGGTACATATGAACATACGAGAGTTGTGCGTATTTTTTTGGACCCAATCATAAGTTATATATGTATACGTATTTGCATATGCATACTTATAGTACATTCGCCTATATTTACACCTATACGCATTTGTATTTGTGTACGTCATTGTTAGTGCTGTGTTTGTAAATGTTTAACATAAAAATGTTTTGGAGAAAGAGCGATTACTTATCCAATAGATCGTGAAGCCCACCTAATTATACTTTTACATAAATGTACTCACAATAACAAAGTGCTAAATGAAACAAAATAATACTACATTTTAGACACTTATATAAATAACTAACCGCTAACTAAAGCTGCTGCTAAGCTGTGTAACTCCTGTCAGATGGGTGATAAAATTTATCTTTGATTTTGTAAACTACACTTTGTATAGCCTACACATTCACATTCACATTCACACTGACACAAACACACATACATTTGCTAATTATAACTATAACTGTACATGTACCTATGTATTTATAGACCTTATACAACTCGTTGAACTACACTTATGTATATGATGTACTTATATATGTAATACTATATACTAATTCCCCCAGCTATTGAGTTAAGTACAATCCAAAAAAGAACTTTATGAAATTATTATATGAGAAACATGAAAACTGATGACTGTAACTGTATTTGTGGCGCAAGTTGTTGCATTGACATATTTTATATATGATAAATTAAAAGTAAAAGTTAAAGTAAAAGGGTGAAAATAGAGGAGCTCCAAGTCGAACTACATAAGTTGAGCCGCTTGCAGAAAATGTAATCACATTTTAACAAAAACTCATTCGCTTATCTACATACATACATATATTTATGTATATATATGTATATATACCCATATATATATACATAACTTTATACTTCTAGACGATATCTATATACACCCGGTTATTTTGAACATTTAACAATGTGCTGATGATACGAACAACAAAAGAAACATGAAAAATAAAGTCTCTCTATTTAACTGCAAAAAAAAAACAACCGATAATCGAAAATCAAATACAGCAGCCGTCAATCAACTGGTTAACTAACCTTAAGTTGCCAGTTGTCAATTGCCAATTTTCTTAGATTACAGCTCTTAAGCAGCCTCGACCAATTCCAACGCAATTCCCACAACGACGTCCACCAAATGGTAAATGAAAAAAGCAACTCTATCAATACCTAATATGTAAATGAAGCATTAAATACATAATACCTATTATATATATATACCCTGACAACTTGTACAGTTCTAGCATACCCGAAAAAAAAAAACAAAAAGAAAAATGCCCGCTAGAAAGAATCCCAACCAACAAATCAGTGTAATATAGCTAGGTTCTATAAGTCATACTTACATATTGTAATGTAAAAAAAAAAAAAAAAAAAAAAATTGTAATGTAAAGTGCGCTTTTCTTTATGATTTTGCTTTTCATTTTGGTTTCATCTGTATTGTTTTATACATTTACATTTTTCTTTGTTACTGTTGCGTATACGCCCTGTTTTTCCGCTGCGCTGTGTCCTCGTAAACAATTTCCATTTCTCTGTCAATTTATGAGCTTTTGTTTGCATTTCGCTTAGCAAATGTTTACCTATCGTTACCCAGCGTTTCATTTCATTTCGGTTTATGCATAACTCTTGACTCTTTAATGATGCCCTCTCTCTCTCTCTCTCTCTCTCCCTCTCTCTCTCACTCTCTACAAATTGTATTCGTACATAGTGTTGCATAACGTTTTCTAGCTGTCTAAACAAAGCGAAGCCCTGTAATATACCCCCTTACTGTCCAAACAAACTGCAGTTAATACTATCTTCTAATGCATTTAATTTTCTGTTTCTGTTTTTTTTTTTTTTGTATATAAAAAAAGTAATATTTTATGTGTATACAAGGAACATTTATTGTAATATACAAGTAAAACGAGAGCTATAAGAACTATAATAGTATATGCTGATTTTATAAAAGGGTCGCTTGACAGATTTACAAAGAACAACAAAAAAACACACAAAACAACTTTAAACTATGAGTTTCCTTTTAACTTTTAGTATTTTTGTATCTTTTTAAACAAGTTTTCTTCAACTTTTTTTTTACTTAATTGCATTTTGATTAATTTGCATAACATGTACCGCAAAGTCTACCAAAAATTTGTTTGACTAGCATTTAATGGCTCTTTGATCTAAAACCGATTAGTATTTCCTTAAACAACTTGCAACTAATACAAATGCATTTAACTATAAAACTATATAAATATTCGATAACTAAAACCCTACTACCAATTGTATATGAACTCAACTTTTCCACATGTATAACAATTGTAACCCCAGCTGGCACGAGTTATGGCAATGAATAAAAAATGAACGTTACCAAAACCAGAAACTGCAGCAAAATGCAGCACCCAAAAATATACTAAACATATCACTTGATTTTTGCCACACAAATACATACAGTATATAAAATACCTATGACAAAAATAACATAATAGGTTTTGAATAAGAATAAAGGTAGACAAGAAGAAGAAACAGTAGAAATATTAGTGTCATCAATTTGATTGATTGATTGACTGTTGAGCTGGGCTGTTTCTGGTCTGACTGTATGATTGATTGATTGATTTATTAAATGTAATGATTCCATTGACATATGCATATAGCCAACTTTTGGCATAATGAATCCATTTTTAATATAAATTTACATAAATATTTAAGTATGTACATACTATCAAAAGAAGCCACCTGCCCTTTCGTATATTGTGGCTTATTAAATATTTACGTAACTCTTATTTATATATATCTATGTGCACGCTTCAAATTCACAATTTGTGTTATATGTAAATATACTCGCTTATATGTTTCTTAACGTGTGTGTCTGCTGAATGTCTTACGTTGTGAATGTCTGCACTGCATTTATTATTTATACGCACCGTATTCGCAAAGTTTACTATCAATTTTAGTTACTTTTGCCACACGCACAAATAACAGTTGGCAGAAGAAAAACATGCTTATGGAGGTTAGTCAACCGCAGGCCTTCGCCTAGCTGCGGTTTCAGCTACAACTTTTAGGCACGGCCTCTCTTTCTCACTCTCTCATTCTCTCTCTCTCTCTCTCTGTCGCTGTCGCTGTCTCAGTCTCTGTCTTTGTCTCTGGGGCAGGTGTCAAGTTGGCGTGCGAGTTTTACATTACGCCCAAAAGACCAGGCAACAGTTGACTTTCGGCACAGTTACCAAGGGTTGAACGGGTAGGAGAGGTGGTTGGGAGCTCTGTTTTAGGCCCTGGCGCTGTCAGCAACAGGTGCTGTCGCCTTTAATTGACAGCTGGCAGGCATAAAATGTTTGAAATGTCGAAAATTAGAAAACTTTTAACAACAATTCTGGCAGCAACGTCGTCATTATTATCGGCATTGCTTTTGAAAGGCAACCAGTCTGCCGTCTTTCTTTTCTTCCAACCGTCTCCTGTCAGCCGTCTACTGCAAAGTTTTTCAAGTGCTTAGGCACTTATCGCTGCCAGCCAGCCTGCCATTTTGATAAACTTCAATAATCCTGGCCCTCTAGATGTGTGTGTGTGTGTGTGTGTGGGTGTGTGTGTGCTGCTTACCTGTAGATAAGTGCGCGCTGCTGCCTCTCAAGCTCCCCCCGCGAATTCGATTTCGTGTGTGTGGCACGCTATCCACTCAACAGATGAGAAATGTGTCTCGTAATGTAATAAACTTTTTGGCACTTCCATAAAGAGTTGAACACACATAGGGCAACAGTTCTTTTTAGTACGCGTGTATGTGTTTGTGTCCATTTCCGTTTTGGCACACGTTACTGCAATATGGCGGCTTCCGTTGCCATTACAGAACTCGACGCCAAACAGTTCGACAGTCGTTTCAGCTGCTGCTGTTTTTGTTGGCCTTGCTGTTACAGAGCGCATGTATACGCTATGAATATGTTATTAGATTGCGCTATATTTCAACATATGTATAAGCACACACAAACAAACTCACAAAATATAAATAAACACAAAACTATGCCAACAACAACAACAATAGTGGCAATGACTCTTATGCGCAACTGCGCAACAATGGCTTCCGTTTGAACAGGGAAGAGGATGTGCCGGGGGCAGTTTCAGTAAAAAAAAAAACAAAAAATATCTTGACAGCGCCCACAGCAGATTGCAATTGCGGTTCTACGTGTGGTCAATATGTAAATACAATATGTACGTGTGTATATTATAACGTGCTCTTATTCAAGCATAATTTACACTCATCTATATATATATATTTGTTTATGTTGTTATTTATATATGTATGCCTGTGACAATGCGATGCATTTTCTGCATGCTTCTCATTAAGTTGAATTTAAGTCTGCCTCACTCTCACTCTCAGTCTGTCTCTCGTTGCATATGTGTCTGTCTTCCTATTTGTTTTCGGTCGCTTAATTAGTTTTATTTATATTTCAATTGCTTTCATTTGTTGTTCAGTTATGTATACAAGAAAATACAACAACCACCACAGCAACACAATCAAGCAACTGTAAATATGCGAGTTGAACAATAAACTGAAGATGAACAATTCAATGCGTTATATATATATAGGCATTAGGCTAATATAACCGACTATTTAAATCTAAGCGCTAAGACTTGTACAGTGCAGCCTTTGAACATGCTTCGAGTTGTTGTCCGTTGTATTTTGAGCCTGTTGTACTAATCCTTCTCTCAACCGCAGGAGCAAATAGCACGGGAGAAAATGGTCAGCGGCCGTGTACAAATACAGGTGTGGTATCATGCGGAACGCAGCGAACTGGTCGTATCCCTAATGGCTGGCGATGATCTGGCCCTACGCGATGAGGCCTATGGCCATGGGAATCTACCAGAGGCATATGCCAAAGTTCGCATATTGCCCAAGTGGTAAGTCTGACCACTCCATGGCGACAGCATTTTATATTTTAATGTTTGTTTTTCCATCGATTACTGCTGGTAAAAACTTTGTGCTTTATTTCTTAAGCTCCTTTAAACCGTTCAATAATTTAACGTTATTTTTGCTGCAGTTTCCTTAGTTTCACTAAATCTATTCAATCAAAATTAATTCACTTGGAAACTCTTCTCCTTGACGTTGCAGCGGCGATGGCAGTGTGCAACAGACGGAAGTCAGTCGACCCACACAGAACCCCATTTGGAATGCAACGTTGACCTTTGCGCATGTGAAGGCCGACAGCTTGATGGATCGCTATATTGATATACAGCTGTGGGACCTGGTGCCGCACACGGAGTCCATATACCTTGGTGAATGCAACATTGAGCTGCAGCAGGCTTTTCTCGATGACCAGGCCATCTGGTGCCGTCTGGAGGATCCCAAGGGACTGCGTGGCATTAGCATTAGCAAGTCGCCAAGCGTCTCTCCTCGTGGTTCCATTGCCGCCGGAGCCGGTGCACCATGTGGCGATGTTTCACGTTTACTTCGCCGGGACTACAATATGCAGCGTTCCATATCGGATGAGGTGGATTCGATTGGGGATGGTGCATCATTACTACATCCAGATCATGCCTACATAGCGGGCTCACGACGCGGCTCATCTCAATCGGAGACCATGGAGGTGGAGGTGTATCAGCTGGGCAAGGACTTCTCGCGCTCGTTGCCGGGTTCGCGTCGCTCGAGTTTTCAGGATGCCGAAAAGAATCGGCTGGAGGAGGATGCCATGGCCACGCCGCCCACATCCTATCTTGTGGGACGGCGTCGCTCCTCGGTGGCGCGACGCGATCCGGATGAGATCTTGAAATCCTTAAAGGCTGTGCGCGGCGAACTTGGACGCACCATGAGCTTAGGCACCGAGCAGCACAAACGCATTGGTTCACGACGTAAGTATCGATACAAAGTAGATCAGATCGATATATTTTTCTTTTGTTACAGCTGGGTTCGTGAATTTCATATTCCAGACACAAGAAAAAAAACCAAATTTCAAGCCACTAAAGTACTTCTTACTAAGCAAACTCTCTAGCTCTAACATGCTACGCAACTCCCTCTGTCTCTGTCTCTCTCTCACTCTCTCTCTCTCTCTCTCTTTACCAACTTATGTCTATGTGTCCCTCTCTATCTCACACTCTTGAATCTGCCTTGCTGTATGTCTGGTACTTCTTTGTGGCTCAGTCTAGCAGCTATATACACTTTACACTTATATCTATTGCATTACAAACTGTCTATCTAATTTCTTTGCTCTCCCATATCTTTCTCACTATTAGCCACAATATTGGTGTCGCATTATCAAAGCTTTGACACACCCTACACTAGTAACTGGACAAACACTAAAAGATAAACCAAATCACACAATATTTAATTAACTAAACAATAACAAATAAATTACTTAAACATTCAATGATTTTAAATAATGCAAGCAAGTTTTTAAATTACTCTCAGCACCTGACACTAAAGATTTAATTGCCAGCTTAAATAAAAATCTCTTATTTATATTTGAAAAACACTCTTTGCACGTCAGATAATTATATTAAAGAACTCAGCCATAAACCACAATAGCAACAAAAAAGTAAAAAACAACAACTTCTAAGCCACTAAAAATACAAAAAGCCTTTTGTATTATATTACCCAAGACACAATGCAAGAACCACACTACGAATTGAGCTTGACAGTATAAGTGTTTATGTGATTGCATAAAATATATATATTTATAAAACAATACAATAACACCAACAATGCAAAGCAAAAAAAAAGTACTTAAGCACACAAAAAAAATCACCAACTCACCCACTGGTAAGAACGCAAAATGAACTTTCGTTTCGTTATCTCAAGATTTGAGTTGTAGTTTTGCTTGATTAGTGCTTGAATTTGGGTTATTTTAGACTCATAATGATTTTCGAGAAATATTTTCCTCGAAAAACTCTAGCTGCATGCCGCTTAATTAACACACACTTAGCCATACACGAATTACCAGCGCACGCTGCCTGAGCTTAACAACATCGTTTGCCACTCACCCAGCACAGTTCTTGGCATATTATTAAGCCGCACACACGCAAAATTATACACACGCATTTCACAAGCACACACATGGTAATCCTGCGCTGCGCGAGCGTAAAAAAAAAAAAGAAACGAGAGAGGAAAAGTCAAGTCCCGGGAGTCGTGAAAACTTGTGATGCCATCATTTGGTTTGGCTTAATTCAGCTTATTGCTGTTATTTGGGCCAAGCAACAAAGCAGCCTCAACAAATTTTATTTAAAATGCAAAGCCACACACACACACAACACGCCCATCCAGCTAAGATGCCACGCCTTATTACCTGTTGGCTGACAACTCCTTGTCGCCAGCCATAAACCCTTCAGTGGCGCCGAAAAATAGCTCAACCTTGAAATTAACTTTTAAAAGCAAGCGACACGCGAAATATGAAAAGCCGCATACAAAAAAAGGCAAAAACAAAGCATAAGAAGAAAAATAAATATATGAGAAAAAGAAAAGAAAAGAAAAGGCAAACGAATCGTCTTCTTGATGAGCCCCAAACAAGCCGTTAAATATGGAAATCAACTCCGGCTGAATATTCGACCATCCACAAATTGAGAGCTTTGACAAATGCTCCTATTAAGATTGTGTAAAAGGTCAAATAGCTAAAGTAAACTGAAATAAAAACGGCAATCAAACTAAACAACAAGGAATATTACCTAAATTGTAAACAAAACATAATAAATATCATTATATCAATGATGTACGTAAAGAAATTGTATCTCATCTGTAGTTGCCGATGCAGTACTAGTTCAGCAAGTTTAACCTTTGCGCCTCTCTCTGAGCTTCGCGTGGACATATTTTATATGGCTTCCGGAAAAGTCACTCAATTACACAGACACACTCACACCCACACACACACTCACGCATAGCTTGAAAAATGTATTTAGCATTTATTTATTTTATTTTTAGCGATAAGGGCCACAACAAAAATATTTGAACTTTTACCATAATCCTTTTTGCCCATAACAAACGCAAGCTCAGCTCGTGCTGCCCACTCAATTGATTGAATGATTTATGGACTACTTGTGCCAGTCGCTAATGGATCATTGAAGTTTTAATGAAGCAGCACAGCCCAATAATTATGCATATCACGTATACGCCTCATAACCATAAGTAGTCAAATAATTTTCAATCGTATTTATAAACCAAATATGGCAATAGTAATGACAAAATCGCGGACACTGTGTATACAAAGTAGAACTATATTATGAGCATATATATATAGTAAGCCAACGAACCGACTGCAACTTACCAGTTGTAATAAGAACATAGCCATTTAAGAGAATATGGCAATGAGAGCTCATCAAATTGCCAATTATATTGGTGGATATAATAACACCAATGCGACCGAACATATAGCTCAAACTGACGGCCTTACCTCTGAAAAAAGAAAGCAAATGAAAAGAATGATAAAGCACTGGGATGGGTATTATTTCTACATGAATTTCAATATAAAAGTGCGTTTCAATCAATTAATGCAAATCAAGTTACTTTTGACATAGCTATGACTTTGAAAAGTTTTAAGCGGTTCCCACAACTATTTTTTGCGAGATAATTTTTACATGAATTTTTGCTTATCCAGAATCGCGATTTCTTAATCTGAAGTTTATATAGCCAGGAGACTTTAAGTTTGGAATATAAGTTCTCGTATATCATGCGCAAATCGAGTTAATTTTATTTGACCGATAACTTCCTGCATTCTGCACATATCGATACATATCGTTATCAGATAGCAATAAAAGCCACAATCTATATTTGAGTAACTGTCCAAATTTCACAACGATCAGTTAAGAAATAAACACGTGCATGAGTAAAGAAGGGATGGAAAGGTATGCTGAGTTCTGAGATAACTAGTTTTACTAGTATGTATATTAATATTAATTGGATGTGAGAAATGCCATAAAAATGAAAGCACAAGTACATAAAACTTAGCACTCACCTCATGCCCGTGGGCACCACATCAACCATAACGGACGATGCCAACGGAATGCTACAGGTACACATCGCTATGAAGGTCACTATGGCAATGAATATGGCCGTCTTGCTCGTCAGTATATTCAACATCAGACCACAAATTACTGAGATTGTTGCATTGCAAAGCAGAACTAAGGAGCGAGGCAGAAAAAACAGCATAATAGTAATTGCAAAGCAAATGATTAGAACAGAGCACCCCAAGCCAACGCCCCCGAGGTAGTCTAGTGGCTTGGTCGAGCAAAGCGAGTCCTCATCCGAGGCATTGGTGAATGTACGACTATGAATCATATCGCACAATATCAGATCAGAGGCTGGAAAGCGTTGGCGCATTTCCATAAACCATAGAGTTAAGCTAGTACCGCTGCAACAGATTGAAGAATGCGCTAAGTATTGGTCAAAATACAATATATATTAGAAGAAACTCACACAAAGAAGAAGCAGCATAGAATGACTGTGACATGTAAAAAGGGCTTTAAATATGGATTATTAAATAATGGCACCGTATCATGCACCAGACGCTGAAAGAAATTATATTCTTGCATTCCCGCCATACTGATGGTCGGACGTATGGGATTTAACCTGTCCACACCAAGGCTTTGCAAATCCTGTCCGCGGTTGCTAACACAGAGACGATTTAGTATCTGATATGCGAGATCAGTCTCCCCCTTAAGTAGCATAAATTGCGGTGACGGGGGCAGTATGCACATGGAGATAAGTGCACATATTCCAGGTATGGTGTTCAGCATCATATTGAACCGGTACCTTAACATATCAAAGCTTTGCACACTAAAAAGTGTCTGATTCAGCGGTTCGAGAGCGTGAGCCAAAACTAAATTATACAAGCAGATGAAGTCCGAATGAGAGTAAATTAAGTGTAACATGAGATGGATACTTACGTGGCACATAAATGCCTCCCAATGCATAGGAATAAGTCATAACGTTAACCATGCGGGGGCGATTCTTGATTGGAGTAAACTCCATCAAGTAAGTGATAAAAGTGACTGAGACACCAGAGACGCTATGGGGCAGGTGCACATTCACTTAACACTGCTCAAATTAAAAGCATAAACATACCCACAATAAACCTGTGATGAATCTCCAGATCAGCATCATATAGAAATTTGGCATTGATAGTGAAATAATTGATGACGTCATGGTCAAGGATAATGAATATAGCATTATCTTACGCCTTCCAGTACTATCTGCCTGATAGCCCCAATAGTGCGACGACACAACTAATCCAAGAAACGCAGCACTTGCCATCAGGGAGAGATCATTCTTAGTCATTGAGAAATCACAGCCTATGGAAACGAGCATTGAACTGATGCCCATGACTTCATTGGTTGTATAAAGGCCACTCATGCCGCAGGCAAACACCATCAGAAACTGAATACGTCCGAAACCTGTACGGAAATAGAATTGCTGAAAATGTGCACTTCTTGGGAAAGGCGCCTACCAATTAGAGTCAGTATATGGTTTGTTTCCGTCTCCGGCATATTAAAAGAAAACTGTTAGAATTTAGTGACACCAGCAAACAAATTAAAATCGAACATTTATTAAATTTGAAAGCACAACAAGCAAGGCCTTTGTGACTCATTTGCTGACCGCAGTCCTTGCATCCTTCGGCAGTCGGCTCATAAGTGCAAAGGAAACTGAAAATGAAGAAATAAACAATCAGTTGGGGATTTGAAAGCTCTTACCCAACATGGCCAACACAAATGCATTGAATGTTACGAAGCAGTTCCAATTCAGCGAGTAGCCAACAAGCAAATTGGCAGCCAGGATACCAATACGACCACACATCATGGCCAAAGCCACTGCTTTGCTTCTGCAAGCAAAAAGAGTTAAGTGTCTGCTCAAAACTAATGATAAATTACCTTAAATGAGTAGGTATAATGTCTATGAGCACAGTCAATGCCAGTCTAGTGCTACAGACAGATGGCAAGGCTAGAAAGGCATATGAAGCCATGATTAATTCAGTAACTTTGACAAAGTTCAGCATAAAGCCGGCAAAGGCAGCGACCAACGAGAAGACCAACAGAATTGTCTTACGGTTAAGACAAATCAACAGCACGCTGACCAGCATAAAGATAGCCAAACAGCAAATGCCATTGAAAATGGAAGCACGCAGATTTTCATCAGCCAAAGCGCACTGGGTTCCGAAATATTTGAAGAGGTCTAAATACGCATAAAATGAATCACTAACCTTGAAAATAGGTGAGGTGGAATTGAAAGCTAACGATTCTGCCACCAAATCACAGAGTATCATGTTTCCTGCAATTTGTTCAGTCATTTGCAGCACAAGCGGCATCCAAACAATTAGGCCAAAACCCCTAAAGAAAACGCCAATTAAATGGTAAAAATTCAGCATTATTAAAAAGTAAATAAAATCGAAGCAAAACCGCAATATTACCTCCTAAATGAATCTAATATAAACAATATATAAATCATAACAAGAAATATAAACTAAAATCCGGCAGAATAATAGTAGTTCAAATATAATGCATAATATAAACATTACTGCAAAGCTATGAAATTTGTTCATATGTTGAGCCAAAGAGAATACTCAGAGTAAATAATGTTTATATTATATTCAATAAAAATGTTGGTATAAACTATACAAGATACGCACGTGCCAAACAGCAGAAACAGAATTGATATCGAAAGCAGCATGTGGCACAAATTGCTGCCTTGCAACAGAGGCTTCGTTTCGCACCATATGCGGTAAAGGCAGCTGTGGATAAATCAGATTTAACACATGATGAGCAGCTTAGCGCTACTCACTTCTTATCAGCTGATGCTGTATCGGATCTTAGGCCTGGCTGTGACACGGATCCGATGTTCAGACTGCGCAGGGTTACATCCTTGCCCTTGTTGTAGCGACAACATTTATCCAATACTTCAAACGCCTTCTGTGGCTTATCGACGGACAGATAGTATTTGGGGCTCTCCGGCATACAATATATTATGGTCCAGGCAATCAAGCCAGGCGGCAGGTTAGTCATTAAGAGCAAACGCCAGCTGCTAATGCCATAGTTGCCCCAAATCTTCAAGTGTATGCGAAGTGGCAACAGCACCATGGCGCTTACTGTGTATGAAGGCGGCTAAGTCAATGTCTATTATTATTTCTCACTAACCTGGCACATAAATCATGCTGATACCAATGGCGTAGCAAGCAAAGTTGATTACCTTGGGGCGCAACGAGATCTTGGTAAACTCACTCATATACGTAAGCTGTGTAATGACAATACCAGTGAGACTGGCGACAAAACGACCTCAATGAACAATGAACAATGAACAACGATTCACAAGACTCACTTACCAAATGCCCATTATAAAGCGCAGCACAAGAAATGACCAAAAGTCGGGCATTAGTGCCGAGATAAACGACGTCAATATGCTCATCATGGAGCAGATGAGCAACATTTTCCGCCGACCAATCTCATCCGATTTGTAGCCCAAATAGTGGCTGGCGCACACCTGTGCCGCAAACGCAGAATTCACCAGCCAGACCATGCGATGCTCATCGATATCAAACTCACACCTGGCCGCCACAATCACCAGTGCGATGCCGAACTGCTCATTGGCCACATACCACTGTTGTGCCGCACAGCCGAAGAATATGCACAACTGCATGCGGCCAAAGCCTGTGCCACATATAAATAACTGTATTCAAGGCTTGATATGCTGCACACGCTTACCAAGCATATCCAATACGTCGTCAACATTCGCCTCGCCCATATTTAATTTGAGAACGTTTTTCGAAAAGCATTTTATAAAGCTGAAATTCAACATAAAATTCACAAGTTCCTTCAACATCAAAATTTTTTCGCGTATGATTGATCCTTAGAAAGCTTCCTTCTAAGACAAACCAATTATCCAATCATTTTATTAATACTATTTTTATTTTCAACTTATCCACTTACTTTAAACATATCAAAAACACTAAAATCCACACAAATTTACTCACAATTATTACGCATACGCACTGTGTGTCTTTCAATTGTTATGATGCATGTCTGTTTGCTGTAGCCTTATGCATACCTCTTCCCTTAGATCTTTGTCTTGGACACTCTTCACATTTCGCCCAGTAAAACTTGAATACTTTGAGTTGAAGTTACATACAATTGAGCAACATTCATTTAATATCAATGCCGAACTGTATTAATTTTGTTTTTGTGTTTTTCCTGCTCGTTTCCCGTTCGCTTCCCGTTCACTCCTCTGCAGGTTCCAGTCGTGTTGGCCTGCCCAGTGGTCCCAACAGTCGGAAGAGCTCGGTATTGGATTTATCGCAGCAGCAGCAACTACAATTGCAACAATTGCAGCTTCTACAACTACAGCAACAACAACAAAACCAACAACACCAGCTGCCAATTGGCATTGGCACCACGGAGACCAGTCCACCGTCCGATGATGAAGACAAACGCTTTCGGCCACGTTGGAAAGGTTCGGGCACACAGCTGCCGCCACAGAGCGCCAAGCAGGCATTGTCCCGGCTCAAGCAGGCCGCTTCCGTTTCGAATGTGGCGCAGGAGAAGCAAAACCTGCTGCTGGGCAGCAACCTGGGCGACAGCGGCCAGCAAAAACAATTGCGCAAGGGTAGCATGGTTAATTTGCGTGGCCAGGACTCACTCTCCGCCGGGCAACAGCAGCAGCGCAAAGGCAGCATGTTCCAGTTGAGCGAGCCACAATCGCAATCGCAATCGCAAACGCAGCTGCAGCGCAAGGGCAGCGTCTATGTGCCCTCTGCCAGCGACACGCCCCCGCTGAGCACGCCCCCGCTGGGCACGCCAACGCGTAAGGGAAGCGTCTATCAACGCACCAGCACGGATAGCGGCACGAACAGTTCCCAAAGGAAGGGCAGCGTCTATCAACGCCCCAGTACGGACAGCAGCATGGAGAGTCCACAGCGAAAGCAGAGCATGGTTAAAACCCTGAGCGGCAGCTATGCCAACGTCAACGTCGCCGCCATTACGGGCAGCGAGTCCAGCTACGGCCTCAAGTTGGGGCCAAGCCAAATACATCCCAAGGGTTATCGCCTAACCACGGCGCGTCATGGTGAGCTGAAAATGGGATTCGTGAAAATCAAAGGAAATGTCGAGGTGGAGGTAAGTCAAGCTTATAACAAAAGATGAAAGACAGAAACTTCTTCAAGTTTTCAAATTAGACTTGAGATAAGCAAAGTTTTAAGCTAGCGAATAAATTAGAAAACATTTGTATAAACTTCTGTATTATAACATATATTATAAGGAAATTATACAAAAGTTATAAATGCAAGAAAATATAAGTAAATTAATTGAATATTTGATTTTTCCAGCTTATTTGTGCCCGAAACATTGTGAACGAGGATTGCGAGACGCCGCCAGACACCTACGTCAAATGCTATATTAAAGATGGCGATCGATTGCGGCACAAGAAGAAGACGCGCGTCGTGCGCCACGCTGCGGAGCCATTTTACAAGCAGACCATCAAGTACCAGGTGAGCAAATGGGCCGTCGTAAAGGGGCGCCAATGATGGCGACTCAAATGGCGACAAGCGGCATTGACGACCTGCCTTTCCGTCTTTCTTGTTATTGTTGGCATTGCATTGTAACGCGATTAATGGCGGCCAATTTGCAGCAGAGTGCGCTGTGTGCTGTGTGCTGTGCGCTGGTCTCGCTCTTGTATATATAAAATGAAAATAGCCATAAAGCCATTGGCTGCGTCTGCGTCTGCTGCTGTATATTTATTTACATATATATATATATATATATTTCCCAGTAATTACACAGTGGCATTAATGCAATTTTGTCTTGTTCACACACAAACACACAAATACCACAACAACAAAAAAACGCAGAGCGCTGATGTCTTTGGCCGGAATATTGTCATAATGGTGTGGCAACGTTGTGTGGGATTCGAGCACAATCAGGGATTGGGCGGCACGGAAGTGAATTTGGACAAAGTGAACATTGGCCAGCACATCACTGGCTGGTATCCGCTCTTTCCCATGCACAGCTATGGCGGCTCGGATTCCGATAATTCTCCTTGACCGAACACGCGAGTGCGAGCGACAACAGAAACAATAAAATTGAAATGCATAACACCAATGTTTAATGATATGCTACTGCTTAAAGTAAAAGCTCAATTTGTTAGTACCTAAGACACGGGCCACGCTAAAAAAAAAAAAAAGAAGAAACTATTTGTTATTTAATCAAGTTATAAAACCAAACCGCCCCGCCCCCAGAAATATATAAGTATTTGTCCCTTAATAGTTTATAGTTAAATGAGCTTGATAGCAATTTGCGATATGTTAAAACTATATAGTATTTGGTGAGAGAGCTTTGTTAGTATGGTACAGTTATGGAGAGCACAATAATTGAGAAATGTGAGTACCAAAGAAAAAACCACAACAAATATAGAACTACGTACAAAACATACATACCAGTTGCAATAATATTAAATATATATAAATAGATATATATATATATATATATTTTTGCTTGTTGTTTGTTGTTGTGTTTGTGAGTGTTTTTAATGCAAGTTGAGTTGTGCAAACAAACAAATATACTTGTGAATGAAAGGCAACGAAGAGGCAGCTGAATTGATTGGCAAATGCTACAGATAACTTTAAATACACCAAATATTATTATTACTAAATGTTAGCTACATAAATGTTGAGCAAATTAACCACTATTTAAGCCACAGAGGCGAAACAATTTAAACAGATTAAAACCACAGCTTAGAAAACCCGCAAAGGTTTCAAACTGCATAACACACGCAAATCAAAAGCAAAACCGATGGCTAAACTTTCTCAGTGTACTAAAAAAAACAAAAAAAAACAACAAATCATCTTAATTAATATGACAATCTTCTTGTGTATGTGTATGCGTGTGCCTGTGCGAGTGTGTGCGTGTGTGTGTGTGTGTGTGTGTGTGGGAGAGAGTGCGACTAAAGCGTAATTAAGACGAATTTACTGTAGTCATTTTTTCGGTAGTCAGTGTGGTGGACGCAACACAACAATTCAAGTTTTTTCCTTAAATAATATCCTTAACTTCCTGCCCGCTTGCTAAGCCTCTATTCTTTATTGCCCCCGCCCCCCTCGCCACAACCCACTCCCCACACTCAGCTTTACATTTGACTTTCAACTGGACAATCTCTTGTAATGAAAAACTTTGAAAACAATGGTTGCAAAAAAAAAACGACTTGTAAACAAAAATAACGTTCAACTTATTGACGCTTGGAGTTTCAAACTTGGCAAAAAGACAAACCAAAAACCCAAAAAAAAAAACAAAATGATAACTAAAAAACGAAATTTCTAAAATGTATATTTACTATCTAGCATACACTGGAGTCATATTATAAATACTAAACTAGATTATTTGTAAACATATTGAACTTTTTACTATCTACTACTAACTGAGAGCCTCTAAAGCACACCTAACTATTTCTACAACTGCGACAAACTTTTACCGTCAGTTAGCCCAGGGACTGCTAAAAACTACTTATTAAATGTTGCTTTTTTTTTGTAAATCTCTCTAATCGGTAAGATTACAAAATAATCAATTTTGTCATTGTCATTTTGCAACTGCTTACAAAACATATATCTATATATGCATATATATATGTGTATTAATGTATATGTATATATATATATATATTAACAATTTGTCCAGGTAGCCAGGGTAAAATGTTCAAGTGGTGTTAGGGAAAAAAATACATTTCAGTTTAAATTAAACACTAATTACTCTTCACAATTTGGCTGTTGACTTTAGCCCGAAAATCTTTTCGAGAAATATTTGTGGCAAACTGATGTGACAACAAATCGAAATAATATGAAACGAAACTAAACAAAATGGTTGTGCTATGAGAAAAATACTATTCTAATCATTGTTGAAACTCTATTTTCTGTATTGGCTGTATAAGCTCGAAGATATTTTCTGCGAAAACTTAGGTATCATAATACTAACTGTTGCTGTAACTGAAACTTAAGTCTATTCGATCTACGTTCTGTACGATCTCTACTTTAACTCTTATATCTATTATTACTATTACTTGTTGTAATTAATTGTACTCTTAAAAGATGAAAATACTGTAAAAATAACACCATATCAACGTGTAGCGTTGTGGACAAGGATTAGCAAAGGTTAAGGACAGCGCTTTAAAAGTGCAGAGTGTGTTTAGCATGGCTTACGATTATATGAAAAGAGAAAATTTAACTTTAATATTTGTTTAAAACGTTAGTAATTACTGACATTACTACTATGTAATACCTATACATACACAATATATATTTAGACAGATGTGAACAATATGAACAAATACATATTATACAAATATATATATATATATATAAAACTATTATATTTAAATGTAGAAAACCAAAAAAAAACACCCACAATATGTATATCAAATTGAGTTTCAATAAACATACAATATTTATTTGGAGAGCGGCCTTATTTAATGAAAAATAAGGGCAAAGCCGGGATGAAGTTGTTTTAGTATACTTTTAAGCATGGAGATGTGAAACAGCTGCTGTACGATAGATGGCCCTTTGGTTTATGCGCTTTATGAGCTGTAGATGGCGCCAACCTTAATGTTATAGCAAGCAGCTACTTACAAAAACCGTTTGTGACAGGCAAGCAGTAAACACAACTTCAAAGACATGAACTTCCTGTCAAGGCTGCAACCATCGGATGTCATTCATTTTAAACTAGCAAATATAACCCAAAATGGTCTATATTATATATATATTTATATATATATTCTATGTTTCTGGTATCATCTCGAGAACTATAACTAAAATAAAATGTATGTGTGAAAACTGAAAAAATTCTCATTATTAGCTGCAGATGGCGCAAGCTGTCTATCACAGCAAGCAACTTTTAATGAGATTTAGCTAGGACAACCACCACCCCAATGACCAATTTATAAATTTGGTTATTTAGTTTTAATATTTACTTTCTTTATTATTGTTTATTACATATGTTGTCATGTTCACTCAAAGATTGAACCACTCTCACATATGACACCGTTTGTCACATACATTTCTTTCTGCTTCCATTTCATGTAAAACATTTGCTTATTTATCGTCAAGTGTATGTAGTAGTTTCAATATAAATTATATAAATTTAAGAATTTTGGAATTATTTGTTATCTTTGCGCTCGCATGTAGTTCAGTATCTTTTTCGTGTTTACTATTCGTTTACAGTTTATTTAAACATAAAAGCCACACAAATATATATCCAGTATATGCACACTTAAATGCTAAAGCAATCCAAATTATATATTATAAAGATAGTTTTGGTAGGTTACTCAATGAAAGCTGTGACATATTTACAACCTGTTTAGGTATGCAGCTTATCGAGCGAGTCAGACTGAAAACAACAGACGGAAAATGAGATTGGCAGAGAAATAAAAAAGAAAAATGACAAAAAAAAGAAGAAATTACAGGCCTGCTAAATGTTAACTTTGCCGCAGACGTATATATTTTTTTGATTTCCGATAATAATGCTTATGCTTGCTTTTCTTTATGTTTTTTTTTTTTTTGTATATGTACGCATATCGTATATACTCGTATAATATATATAGTATAAATAAATGTATTGCAAAGTGGCGTTCAATATAACAGAAGGTAGCGCCGCCCGGCTTTGCATTTGACTTAAGCCTTAAGTGTTGTCAACTTAAATAACTAAATGGGCCCTAAAACAAAATTAATTTCGACTTTAATTCATTCTCTGTATCTCATAGTTTAAACATATATGTACGTGTGTGTGTTTTTTTGTGTAAGTGTATATGTATATCTGTGTGTGTTTGAAAATATACAAGACAAAAAGCAATACAAACGTTATTTAGGTATAAAATTATAATTAAGTTTGTTTTGTTTTATGCATAATGCGTAAAGTAAAATGTACAATTGTTGCTATTCCATATATAACAAGCTAGCGCGTTCTTTGCTTTCCAATTCGCATATGCCTCATGCTAAATGCATAATTGTCATAACTTTTGCTATATTATTAAAACGTTGAAATATTTTCTTCGAATCTTACGGAATTGTGGTCCATGGATGTAAATTTCTTCATTTTTGCGCTAAATATATTATTATTTTTCAATGATTTTAGGTGCTTTAGGTTATCTTGTTTTCTCCTTCATTTCCTCTTTTCATTTAATAGCCACAATTACTGTCGCTTTTCTTGGTCAACTCGAAAAGTAGCAGGTGCTATTAATTATTTGAAATGTGATTATAAAAAATAGATCTAGTAAGCATATTGCAAAGTGCATTCAGCGTTAAGGGCTTTCAATATGTTTACCAGCTAATTTTTCACGATGATGCAATATGAAAAATGTGTATTTTTCTTTTACTCATTTTAAGTGCCATATAAATTACATTTTATGTATGTATATATAAATAGTTAATACATGATTGTTATACTTGTAGTTCGATTGTGAAAGGGGAAACGTTGCGGTGCGTTTGCTTACAATTAGGTGAGGTCTGCTCGTGGGGTGCATTTATGTATGTATGTATGCAAGTATTGATAACTACGTTTAGTGATCGATCGTATTGTATAATATGATATCTCTACTACTTTACTACTCATAATCGATGCAATTTCAAAATCAAAGTCAACATACAAAAATGTGAATAGAAAATAAAATGATTAGCTTATCTTAAGACAAATTTACATGTTTGTGCGTAAATGTATGTTCTCGTGATAGTTGATGTATTCTGGTATTCTATGGCTTTCCAAAATAACGCAAAGTTATGACAAAAGTACACAAATGTATGGAACATATGCAAATGCTGTTAAGTAGTTAACATTTAAAACTGCCCACTAGTGCCAACAATATTCTAAGCAAAGAGTGTGCACTCGATGTAACTCGTGGGCACAAATCCCTCGTCCCAGCCATTTGAGTTGTTCGCCCGCCGCACACGCGTCCATCCATCACCCTGATCATTCTCAATCACCTGCAGCTCCTCTCCCTCACTCATGGGTATGCTGCCTTCGCTGGAAGCTGTACCAAATGAAAAAGATAATAACTTTATATTGTTTCGTTTATCACATTTGAGAACTTACCTTCGAAGGGGTACAGCGCACGACATGTGCCCAGTGGTTGTAGCAGCTCCACTTCCGTTTCATAGCACGTCTCTTCGCCGATGGCATTTTCATTGGCGCTGCCCTGCCCGGAGCCGGGCAGTGAAGTGTGCGATGTGCCTAGGCCGCTTTCAGGACTTGCCGAACTGCTGGATTTCACCATGGAAAAGGCAAAATGAAACGAAATATTTGAAAGAAGTTGCAATTTCGACATTATTATGTGTTATTTGTATGGTGTAAGCAATCAAATCAAATTAAATAAGCAATAACTAAATGTAATTTAGTTCATTTACTACAAACAGATAAATTGTTTGAACTTTTGTTTCTTTGGCATACTGTTGACTTTTTTATGTGCTCATTTCTTAACAATTTCATAAGGTAATAAAGAGTAGAACTGAACTGAAAAATAAGCAGCCAACACCAAACAAAAATGCCACCAAAAATAAGAGAGCAATGTACAAATGAGAAAAAACGAGCCAAATCATAAGCGATATATATATGAAATACAATAATGAATGTATGTGTAAGAATATGTTTGTTTTTGTTGGTGTGTGTGTAAGTTTAGCTGTGTATATATATAAACATTGTACGTAGACTTATGAGTGTACCCGTTATTGTTATTATTATGCCCATTTTGTATTTGCGCCACATTATCCTCAGAATCTGACCTGCTTAAGCTGCCAGCGTCATCGGGCTGATCATCAGCATCGTGATGATCGTCAGCGCTAGCGCTGCCATTGGAATGTCTGAAAGCAATTTTAAACTGTTGGTTAGGCAAACAGTTTCTGTTGCTAATGAGTAAATAATTGATTCACCTGGATGTTCGGTGTCCGTTTTGCAGTTGATTGCGATGCGATTGAGGACTATTGTTGGCCACCTGCAGCTGATTAGCCTTGTCCAAAATGTCCTGAAACTTTTTCAAATCCCTTTTAAGTTTTTCCAATTCATGCTCGGATTCGTTCAGTTGTCCCTCAACAGTCATGGGATTTCCAAGCGATGAGTTCGCCTCATATACAATTTTCATCTTCATCAGGCCATCCCGAGTGTTCGTCTCCTGATCGACCCTTTGCTGCAGCTCGGCTATTTTTGCTACCAACTTCTTGCGCTGCTGATTCGGTGGCAGATCGCTGAAGTCCTCCTTTTGTCCGTCCGCAGTTAGTGAATTCTATGTGTGGAAATAAATCATAATAATCATTAGTTGTTATGTTTTCCGAGTGTTACTATTGAATAGATTTCTATATAAATCGTATGTAGAAGTGCAATGAGTACTATACAAGACAGAAATGACGGAACAACAATATTAACAAACACATTCACAACGTTTAGCAGACGCCAAGTAACGAATCATAAAGGATATAGGAAAATAAATAAAAACTTTAACAGAAATTGAAATAATTGCAAGAAAATTAATTCAAGTTAATTAGTAAGAACAAAGTTGGTTATGATAATAATAATAATAATAATAAACTCATATAATGCACGTTGCAATAATAAAACCAAAACATGCTTGAGTTTTTTAAACAATAATTAAAGTAATTACTGTTTAACGAATTATGTTGTAATTAAAATATTTTGTTCTGCAATGTGTGAGTGTGCTGCTTTGCCATGTTGTTAACAAACTAACTATTTAACAATTCCTTATGGAATATAATTAATATTATTTTTATTGATTACGATTAGTTTTAATGATTAGGTGTTCAAGGTGAAGTTTGTGGCTCAATGAAAAGTTTTATTAATTTGCTAGTGTTGATTAAGTCTTAGCGATTGTGATTAGTAGCTAATGCTAATTAGTTGATGTGTTAAGAGCAGTTAGTTAGAAGAGCTGGAATATTGTACATCATACCTTCATCGTGATACAGGCTTCAATTATCTGCCGTTGCTATTGGCAGCGAATTGATTTAGTTATTTATATTGATTTCATATTTATATTTCATTATTTTATTGAAAACGTATCACATTTTGATTTGGTTTTTCCCAGTGTAGGTGTGGTGTGTTTGTGTTTGTGTAAGTAAAAGCATGTTTATTTTTTTTTTTTTTTTTTGTTTGTGTTAGATAATTGTATGACAGCAACATATATGCATTAAAGAAATTAAAGAGTTAAATGCCATTAATATTTGTGTGTGATTTTTATCTCAGAGGCAAATGTATTGAAAATAGAGAAGCGAGTGAAAAGCGATGGCAGCCAATTGTTGCAAAACTAGCAGTAAATTTTGATTAAATAACGTGACATAAAACAGAGACATAAAATATGGTACAAATTCGTATGCGCTTGTTAAATGTAGATATGACTTGAGCATGGTATATGAAAGACTGCAACAATTATTTATTGTTTGTTTAGTTGACATTTAGGACATGAGATACGAGGACACGAAACGAAACGGCGAAAGGCGATGAGCTGCCTGGGATTAAGGCAGCTGGACACTTGGTACTTACAGCAAGGTGGAACCAACGTCCGAAATTTTCGTGACATAAATTAAAGAAATGGCAAATTTGATTGATAAATGAAATAAGAACAGAAAAAGAGAAAGAGAGAGAGAGACGGCATGAGTAAAACTATAATTAGAAGAAGACACAAAAACCTATGACTTAAGGATAAACTTAAAACTAAACAAGAAGCATCTAAACTCAAGAGGCAGTTGTGCTTTGGCGAATCTCTCGTAACAAACAAGAGAAAGTGACAGATAGAAAGATACAGAGAGAGAGAGAGAGAGAGAGAGAGAGAGAGACACTGTGCCAGGCAATGATAATAGGATAGAGACATGAACATAACAAGGGACCAAACCACTTTAAAAAAAAAAACAAGAACAACTTGAGGAACTTGCAGCTAAGTCGTAAGCCTGAACCGAGAAGCGGCAATCGTCAACGTTTGCTCTCACCTTGTTGCTGCCAAAGATGCTCTGCAAGATGTTGTTGCGTACTCCCTTTCTTCTGACCGAGATCGTGCCCTTGATGGTCGAGTGACTGTAGTTGCTGACATTGCTGAGATCCATCTTTGACAGATCCTCAAATGGTATGTCCGTCGGTGGTGTGAAGCCCGATTGATATCTACAAAGTATATTAAACCAATTAGCAATGCCAAAATAAAAATAACTAATTAATTTATTCGAGGACAAACCTTTCGATGACTTTTAGTGAGTCTTCCTTCTCGTTGATGGACTCGCCGGCCTTGACAATGCCTTCCATGCAGCGCGCAATTATGGGCGCCACCGAGGACTCGACATCGGCGGCACCAATGATGAACTCGCGTATGCCAAGCGTACGCTTCTCGTCTAGCTCCTGCAGCCGATTGAAGACGGCGGGTAACAGCATACTATAGTGATGCTGCTGTAAATTGTTTGTCTTCTGCAGCTGATTGGCGTACTCGTTCTTTGCGTCATCGGACTGTTGATTTTTCGATGTCATAATGTTCTTGTAACGCTCCACCTCGGCGCGACTCAGATTGAGATCCATGTCAGCCTTCTTGTAGTTTTCAACGGCCTTGTCCGAATCTCGATAGGCCTTGTCATAATTGCGCTTGGCGCGCTCCAATGACGACAGCTGTGCGCTGAGGCACTGTTGCAGCACGGTGCCATCCGTAAGGCATTTCTACAGACACACACAGAGAGAGAATGAGATGCAAATTAGCAAATGATAAGATGTGCATGTAGAACAGATTAAAAATACGTTACCTTGCGGTCCTCTCGCAATGTTTTCGACAGCAATGCCACACTCTGAATTATCTGTTGCTGTAGGGTCTCGGACACAACCTCACGCTGTCCCGCCAGATCGCCCACCTCCTTGAGGAGATTGCGGAAAGCTTGCCTCGATGTAAATCTGTGAACAGTAAACCAGGCGCAATCAGTTCAACTGGTTCAACAATTCACCCACGCCTTTTCACGCCTTGAGTACAAACTACTATACAATATGTCTATCCCTGGGTGCGCTCTGTTGAAAATTTCGATTTATGGGACCTCTTATTGGACACGCGCTTTTGAGCGCCCACGCTGCGTCGCTGTCGTCGCCACAGTCCGTCCATCTGTCCGTCTGTCAGTCCACTTATGGTGCAGACTTCCAGGCCGAACGGCAATCATGAATAAATTTATAGATTTTACAACTGTATAAGGCAATACATTGGCATTTCATTACCAACTCTTCAACTTGGACGTAAGCAGCAATGGCTTCATTGTCATAAGTATTACTACAAATTTGCGGCGCGCTATTTGCGGGCCTATGATGTCAGCCTGTCAGTCAGTCAGTCAACAGTGAGGCAGGCAGGCAGGCAGCCACAGAACTAAGTCAGGAATCGAGCATTGCTCGCATGTAATTAAAACTGAGTGGCAGGCAGGCCGCAAAAGTTGTTCTCAGACCACACATGAGCGAAAAGTAGCTACAATCATGACTTTTATCATTTGAGTGAGTGTCTCGCAAATTAAATGCCTCACACACGCACACAATTACACAATTGAACAGTCAAATTGGTCATATGAGCAGTTCTAAGGAGAGTCATCGTTGCAGCGTTATCCAAAACAAAATCTACTTAACACATTGCTAACACATATACCAAATAGCAACTTGCACGAATTGTTAATAATTTTCCAAAAGATTTAACAAAGCACCTCTGCGCAATCGTGTTCAAGCAAACCATCAACCATTTATGAATACCCTGTACAAATATCAGAAAGCATGCTGTTTTTTGAATTTCACATTTAAATTGCCCCCCACAAAAATATATTATAAGAAAATATATCTCACAGAAACTCTCTCAGAAAAACTCACTTCATCACATAATAATTTCATGTCTGTAATTTCACACACACTTAGATATATATATATAGGGTAGATCACAGTTGAGCAGTTGCAATTAACAGCTCTCTCACCATTTTTATTATACGTTTATTATGCTTACAACTATATTTTATTTTGTTTGTAGATTTTATGCTTACTCATTGTCTTCCTCCTCCTTCCTTTTGGGCTGATAATTTTTCACTAAGCGCCTGAAAAAAGAAAAGAAAAATCAAATAGCATGGCATTAGTGAAACTCTGAAATAGCAACAACTCTGTGTTAAAACTATTACAATAATAACAATAACTTTAACAATAATAACAAAACAACAACAACAACAACAAAAACAAGAGCAAGCAAGTTAAGGCATTTGCATTAACACGAGACTTTTCATTTTGGCATTGCGAGGCGAGACGACACGCAAAGCAATCTTCAAATTTCAGACAACAGACTACAGACTACAGACTACAACGAGAGTAGTACCGAGTACAGAGTATAGAGATTTCAGACATCTGATTTCACTAGTTACTGCGACGCAGTATATATAGTACTTAATATGGCAGAGAGTTTTCCATTTCATATGGCCGCATTTGTGGTCTAGTTGGGCGCCTGGGAAGATGATAATGTCATTATAAAAAGGGCTCAGACACAGTAGAGTAACTGCAGGCAGTAGTCAGTTCAGCCAACAGCGTATCAGAGGGGCCACAGTTCAGTTCAGTTTCAGTCATCAGGCCTCAACCAACTCTCGACAACCAACTCATTTTGCGGGATTCAAATTGTGGGAACTGACGCCACCGCATTGAGAAATACAGTTTTTACGAAGAAAATAGCAAGCTAACGACTGCCATGATGCAAGGCAGCGTTCCCAAGTGCCCCCAAACAGCTTGGGGCAGAGCAACTTTAGCAGCAGTAGCAGCAGCAGCAGCAGCAGCAACTGGATAAATCTTCAAGTGATTTAAACATTTATGACACCTAGTTGGGAAGTACAGAAGTACAGAAGTCATGTGGGCTTGGCGTTACTCAAGCTCAATCACATTAAATGGACAGAATTTTCCACTCTTCAACCAGCACCGCCCCAGTTCCCCTCGTGGTGTCGCGTGTCTGTTGCGTGGGGCAGGTCGTGGTCAGCTCGTGTTTATTTAGTTGTCAGCCTATTGCGCAATTTAGCTGGCAATTGTACACAAACATGAGCATATTATATTGGGGTGGGTCCAATCGCAAACCCTATCCCCATCTACACACATATCCCCCACCAAGTCTCCCATTCCCATAATGTGAGGTGCGGCGCAACATTCTCGAAATTGAGCCCATGGAAGGGCATTAATTGAAGTGCGCCCAAAGTGCCCCCGACATGAGCATATTATTTATTGTATGAGTAATGTCTTTATGAGCTCGCGACTCTGCTTGCCACAAAGCGCACGATTAGCTGTTGATTATTCCGGCACCTCACCCTCCAATTGTTTGGAGTCGTGTACTCAGCTGCTGCGGCTGCGGCTGCTGCCCAGGAATGGTCAATGGACACAATGCACATGGCGTACAATCTCTAGAACTGGCTGACCTTGTGCTTATTTCAGCTCTCAGTTTATAATAAATTTATATATGTATATATACATAATAAAAACAAAAGCTAAACATTTATGAGAATTGCACTCGTGTTCAATTTAATGTGTCTTGTTTCTTGTAAGGAATTGTTGGTTGCTTTTTGCCTTGACAGGCCGCAAGCCCGCAAACGGGCGTGGCCTTTGCCATTAAGTCGTATAAAAAATATATATTCACATATAAAAAAAATGCTTAAAAACAAATAATTTAATTGACATACAAATATGGTCATTAAGTGGCGCCACATGATTTACAACAGTAGCGAAGACTTTAAGAGCATTTGTAATTATTTTTTGCGCTTAGCTGGATAACAATTAAATTTGTATATTAAATGTAAATGTTAATATTATTAAGCAAACCTTTTTATCAGGAAATAGAACAGAATTATGACTTAAGACAGCGAACATTTCTTTTTATGTCAATAATCTTTCAGTTTTTTCAATTAAGTCTTAAGATCTTGCTCTCCACTTTTCAAAAGCCTCTTATTGTTATTATATTGATATAAAAGTCATATATTTCAATTATATATTTATATATTGTACTCACCTCAATTTGCCGGCATATTCCGTTTCTATGGCTACTCGATCGCGTAAGAAATTGGCATATTTATCGAGCACTTCAATGCCTTTGTTTGTGTGAATTGACAGATTATCGTACTGATCCTGAAAATAAATAAACAAGATGACACATGATGCGGATTAATGTATGTTGTGTGTTGTGTGAGACGCAATAAGAAGCCATAAATAAAATAGGAATATATAATAGAAATATTTACAATTTGACATTGAGCCAACAAAGAAACAAAACTGTTTGGCACAAAATTAGGCCCGGCGACTGTATATATTGGCCAGCAAATCGGCAAAAATCTGCGCTGTAGAAAATTAATCGAATTTCGCATTTAATTGGAGCAAGAGGCAACTGCGTCTCAGCATGCGAATGACTGAGTGGCTGGCAGCAAACGTGGCGTATACATTATATGTACGATATCGTTTATATATATTGTTAAGTCGTGAGTGGATAAAGATCAGCAATATTGCTTTTCAATTAGCCACCACAATTTGAACAATTTGCCAAGTGGTATCAAAAAAGCAAATAGCAAAGCTATTAATTGCCATAAAGAGACTGGAGCCAATTAGCAGCCACTGCCAACTATTTAGATTTGAAATTATGCTAAGCAATCGCAAACGAAATTAGTCATTTACAGTAGCAGTTGCCGCAAATATGGAAGTCATTAAGCTGTGCAACTTCCTCAAACTTCGGTGACATAATGTTTGAGTTATGCTGCGGCAATTTGCAATGCCATTCAATACAATTTGTCAATGGAGAAAGACCCACTCGCAAGAAAACAAAGTGTGATCCACTTTTTGCTATTCGCACGTCAGAAAAGTAACAACAATACAAAAATAAAATAAATAAATAAATCTACGTAACATCAGCAAATGACAATGTTGCCAATCACGCCTACAAAACGCAGCAGCAGCAACAATAACAAACAACAAGCTCGTTTATTCGGCTAACAAATTGAATTTAAAGCAGTAGCAAAACGGCAAATGGACAAACTCCGATGCTTTGGCCTCAAACATGCAAATTTGCATAAGCCCCAAAAATTACAAACAATTATATAATGAAGCACAGGGGTTACAGCTAGCTACTACAACTATTGCTATATCTCATGATCATGATCAACATCAATCCTCAATAACAAACTATTTAGGCCACAACATTTACGTTATTGAGGGCTTCATACAATATATACCCTGTACTCATCGAAAGTATAGGGTGGATAGGGACGACATTTTAGCAAAAATGTATTGGAAGATGCAATAAGACAACAATGGGTTGCATGCCACACAAATACTTTCCCACACTTGTACTGCAGAGTTATGTACAGGGCATCTGGTAGTCGAGCACAGCGACTTGTCCGTTTCTTTCATTAATGTGAAGCGAATTTAAATTTGTTACGTTTGCATTGATCAGTGAAATTTGGCAATGTTGCCTGCTTCGATTTTCACTCAGAAACGTGCACTTATTTAATTAAGATAATAAAAAACTATTTAAGTGGCATTTGTAGAATTTTCTGTCACACAAACTTTCACCAGAGCGTGTGTGTTTGTGTGTGCGTGTGTGGGTGTGGGTGTGGCCCTAAATGAAAAGCATTTTCGTGCTCACACAAAAACTAATCAAGAAAATGGTCAGAAAAATTCCGACCCACACACACACACACACCACACACCTCACACACATGAGATAATTGAGTGGCGAATGTTGCAACGTTTGAGGGGTTGCCAATGTGGTATGCATTATGCATGCGCATTGTGGTTGCTGGTGCTACAAATGTGGGTGGCAGCATGTCAAGCGGCGGGCCTAAAGCATTAAAGTGTCAACTGCTGCAGCTCCCATTTTATATAACGCCCCAGGGACTAAACTGGGACTGGGACTGGCTAAAGCCGAAATGGCTTTTCAAATTCATTTCTTATTATTTATTGTGAGCTGTCGCTGCGCTTGCGCAATATCCTTGCCAGCGGGAAATTACTTTTACAATTGATCTACTCTGTGCCAGTTTTTTTTTTCTTTTTATTTCACTTAAATAGGCGATTGCGAGTGGCAAATTGCTTGTGTCTGGGCAGGAAAGTTGCCATTAGCGCCATTTATTTATATAAAGAGCTAATAACAGGTGAGCGGGCAAAATCAATAATTAGATTGCAATCAAATTATGTTTATAGGCAGCCAGACAGCCAGAGAACTGTGATAATCATTCAATAATGCCTGATGTTTGATATAAAAATAAGCTACAGCTCAGTTAAAATGTAATCAGAGGCTTTACTGAACTACTTTGCTAATTAATTATATTATACGGGTAAGATGTTGGCTAACAAATCAATATTCTTACATTTTGAAATAAATTCAGATTAATTTATTTAAATAAAAACCGAAACCACTTCTTCATTTCAAAATAACATTTTACTTTTGGTTTTCTTTGTGTTATATTTGTAAATTTGATCATTGGTCATAACACATTTTTGCAACTAAATAAAATGAATAATACTTTTTGAAGCCAACGAACATTGCATAGCTTAGTAACATTTCATGAGCTGATCAACGTTGATCTACAGATTAAAATGCTGATCAGTTATGCTCGCTTCAACGGGCATAAAAAGTTCATCTCTATGCACGCGGCAAGTCCACGGTTGACATTGACAGACGACTTTGGAGGTTGTTGTTTGCCAGTCGGAATGCGAAGCAACCCAACGCAACGCAACGAATTGGAGATCGCATAGTTAACCTTGACCAGGCAGCAGTCAGTGAGCAAATGATTCGCGAGCCGGCTATAAAAGGCGGGGCACGTATACAGACACAGGCATAATGCTTATATAAGGAGCAAACAGCATTGGGGAGCGAGCAAGGGTTTCAAATTGGCATGCGACATCCTCCGACTCGCGAATGCGAGTGCAGCATGTGGCAACACGCGATGCCAAATGGGGAGCGCAAAGTTGCGTGGTTGAAGTTTAATGTTGAACGTTGAACGTTGGGGCAGCGACAAGTTTTTTGCTTACTTTTTTTATTTTTTGCTTTGCTTGGGTTTAATAACCTTTGATTTTGACGATAAGCTAAGATAAACATTTTAATATTATTTATTTATTTGAACGCATCACAAGATTAATGTCACAGTGTCTGGAAATGCTAGCCAATATATCATGGCGAAAGTTAAGCAACAAGAGAAGAAAGCGCGGGCGGGGGGCGAGGGGCGTGGGCAGTGAGAGCATCAGCAACAAGAAATGTCATCAGGCACACTTCAACTTCAACTTCCACTTCAACTTTGGAATCCATCGAGTTATTAGTCGCAACACCAACACCAACACCAACACCAATCTCCCCCAAAATCACTAACCAGTCAGACGCTTTCACTGATACAACTGATGTGTTCACACCCGGCAAACGCACCTCACCCGCACCTTTACCTTTACCCGCTTCCAGATCCCGCTTTGTATTCCCTTTCCTGTGCTCCAATCAAGTAAGTGTAACAAAAAGAATTTAAAGACAACAAAAACCGAACACTTTCCCAAGCACAAGAAACAAGAAAACAGACAAAACAATGACAATAAAAACCAATAAAGAAATTAACAAATTGCAGAGAGCAACAATAACAAATAGGAACAAAACACGACATTTGGTGTTCAAAACCAAAAGTGTTAAATTCGATTGAAGATTGTCATCGATTATTGTTGCTGCTGTTGTTGTCGACTGGAAATGTGAGCAATCAACGTGAAATGGAATCATCGAAGCACATATCAACCACATAGCATAAGGGCGTTTCCATTGCCCAGACCCAACTGTCTGAGAGCTTTAAGGTCTGAGGTCTGAGGTCTGTCTCCCCGCCTGACACATAGCCACTGGGTCAAGATTGAAATTTGAGCGATTGATTAAAGTACTCGCAATCGCTCGCACAACGGCATTGTTGAAGTTCATTAAATTAATCGTGCCTCTCCGCTTCGATTTGTTTCGATTCGTTTTCTTACTTTATTTTATTTTGTTTGGCTTTTAGTTGTGATCGTGACAATTGATCAAAACATTTGTTGCACGATAAAATGCAGTGGAGGAAGTGCCGCTTGTCTTAACTTCTTTAACTGAAACGTGTCGAAAAGTTTTAATCTAGCATACTTGACAAATTCACTTGAATACCCACTTTAGACCCAATAATTTGAGATTATGGAACAGCAAAACCATATTTTATCTTTAGTACTATTTCCCCTAGATTGTTGCTCTATCTATCTCTATTACCATTTTTTTTTTTTTTTTTTTGGTAATTTCATTCTTTGTCACAATCTCAAACCGTGATAAAGTAGTGCAATAAAGCTGCAAAAATGACTAATCAAAGCATAGGGAATTCACCTGCATCGATTTGATATTGGAGGTTGTTTGCTGTTTGCTTTTGGTGCTTGTCATAAATCCAATTTTATCGGGGCTGGTTTATCTAATCGAATGCTAAACCACAGACAGACACACACACACACATACACACAGAGGTGTACTAGATGCCATAGTCAAAAGCCAATTCGAATATTGTGCAAGTGCCGCCGTCTTTGCTGCGGTGACTGGGTAACCACAGAGTAAACGAGGCAACAACATGATGGCCCCCAAAATGAACAGAGCCTCGCTCTGTCAATGTTTGTCTTTATGTAATGATTGCCTGCCAACAATGCAACTGCAACTGCAACTGCAACAGCAACTTCAGCTGAAGGGTGTCAATTGAAGCAGAAAGCGACAGCATATAGTTATACAATTGTCTCGCTCGCACTGATCACATCGCCACACACAATCGTGTGGCACAATATGGTTCCTGTTTTGCATTACAATTGTCGAGGCGTTCACTCGACCAGAAACATTGGCTTCCTTTTGGCAACGTATTGCTTTTGTTTTACCATTTTTTTAGACCCAGTTTGAGCGACCGACTAACCAACCAAGCTAGCTAGCTAGTTACCCCGGCCGGCAGCAACTCACAAAAACTGGGTAACAGGTGCAGCGGCAACGATTTGTTTACCAATTGCCCGTTTGTGGCTGGAAGCCATAGGCAGACAGATGGGCGGGGAGCAGGCGCAGTAATAACGGGGTGGAAACGGATCGGATCGGGTCGGGTGGTGTGCTTTGGCTTAAGCATGCCAAC